TCATTAGGAAGAAGAGTGCAAGCTCATGGCAGCAAAGGTTCAACTGCCTGGGCTGACGCGGATCAAAATGTATCGTTCATTATGAGGCGATGATGCTATTCCTACAACGTCGTAAACGAAAGATCTTGTCAAGCCTTTCCTCGTTTGAATGATGTGCATTCATTACAAAGGAAACCTTACAGATCAGTTGTTGCAGCCTGGTATGAATGACGTCGGTAATCTCGATGCACAAACGTATCACCATTGGCGACTCCGAACATAGTTTGGTTCATCGGAGTTCAAATATTGAAAATGAAAAAAATTATCGTTGATGAACAATGAACTATAATCTTACGGCCACTCTTAATTACCCAAGCATTTTGATGAACTGTTGTATAATAGAATATAATCAAGAAAAATATAGAAAGAACTAATTTCGCAAGCACAAACAAGATAGTTCCAACCCAAGAGCATAGGAACTAGCAAGAAAGTTCCGAGTTCTTCATTGTTGCTGGAGTCGACGCAGTAAAACAGGGAGGCTCCGAGTTCAACCACGAACAATGGCTGGCATACGCAAACAAAACCTCATGTGCCACAAGCCGCCTCTTTTCGTGGGTACATACTTGTTTGCTGCCTGTTTCTTCAAAAGTCTTCGTCGGCTGATTGAGGCCCAACTGTAAGCCGCGCTTCCCTAATATTTATATCTAATTCCGTATGTAAGAACTGTTTGAGTTCAAACAATTTACAAACTAAAAATTTTGCTGTCAGCGCCAGAAAATGAGAATCATCTGGTATTTATCAGCTATTGGTGACGTAAAAGTAGTTCGGAGCACTCGCTGACCTGTCACAAGCGTGGAAACCATTCCAGTGCAAGCTATACAGATGCGGCGGCAGCAGCTAAAACAGTGCAGAGTGTAGCAACGGCTCAGCGCTGTAGAACAAACGTGTAGCAACGGCGCAGCATTGAGGTGGTTTCGAAATTTCTTTCAATGAAGCGACTTGAGGTAAATTTCTACTCACGAATCTCCGAACTGTTTGAGTTAGATAATTGTAACGAAGAAACTTTTACCCAAGCTCTCTGCAATCGGCATCTCGACATTTTTTTGCGAAAGAAGCCTTGGCTTAAATCAAGATAAATTGGTTTCTTCGTGATTCGGGTACCTGCGGAGCAATCGGAACCTGTGTTCTCGCGAGTGCGTCATCTCATTCCACAGCAATCAACTTCTGAAAAACCTGTAATGAATCCACAGGCATCTGCATCTGTTGGTGTCCAGCCACTAGATCTTGCGTGGCCAGTTGACTACCAATGCCATTAAAGTGTCCAATTGACCACGAATGTTTGAGTTTGAGGCAAGAGAAACGATCCAGAAGCGTAACATGAGGCCTACATAACCGTCAATTAACGTTGAAATTCATCTTTGTATTATGCTTAGAAACGAAAATCGAGTCGTCTTAGATTTACAGAACAAAGGAACCACGGTACATCACCACTACGAGAACAATGTTTGATGAACCTTCACAAACTTTAACCGCTCGCACGAATTCCAGCACAACCTGTATACGATTTTAAGCTTCCCAGGTAAAGTTGCGATCCGTCGTGTAGATCTACGCGCTGCCGCTCGCCTCCTCATGCCATTGAAAGTTTGTAGGCCTAAGTCGCCTGAGGCGCTCAATAGACCGGCCTTTATTCATCAAGCTGAGCCTGCCGGATGCCAAGACGTCGAGCTTGACAGCCCAGCATCGGCTCGCAATATTGTGAAATTTTAAAATGTTTTTATAATGAGTTTTTATTCATTTTCTTGGATATTTTTTAATAGTGAAATAAAGATTATGATGTTTGCATCCTTTTGTAAGAATAAATGTTGAGTTTTTTAAAACCTATCATGGCCCTTGTAGAATATAGGCATGAGACAAAGGTGCCATGATAAGAATTTCAAACATGACTTAATTGAGAGTAACATAAACTTAACAAAACATGAAAACCTTCTCAAAAATATATTCCAAGCTCAACACAAACTCCGGAAATGAATTATTCTATGTAGGGAGGAATTAAGCAATTTTTAGCTAAACCCGAGTCATTAACGACTTTCCTGTTGGAGCCATTTTGCTGCTCGGACATACCTGTCGATCCTCATGATAGAAGTCGCTTCTACTCTCACCTGCTCTTCATCAAGTGCCGCACTGACGGTTTTATTTAGCGTTGGCGGCTTAGACGCACTAAGGTCATAGTGTCACGTAGGTACGAGTCATAGTGTCCAACGAGTGAACACTTATTGCGTGTAGCACTGATAGATCATTTTTCCGCGTAAAACTGCGTCATGACCAAACTAGGACAAGAAATGTGTCTCTGTTCGAACGAAGTCTCTCAATTTTTCTTTATGCAGGTTACGTTCTAGATTTGTGACGGGAATGTTTTATTGAATGGGCTTATTTGCATTTTGCCGTAATGGTTTCTGGTATTGTTGCAAGATTTATGAAGGTTACTAAGCATGCGTACCGCGGGTCGTTACTAAGCATGCGTACCGCGGGTCGTTACTAAGCATGCGTACCGCAGGTCGTTACTAAGCATGCGTACCGCAGGTCGTTACTAAGCATGCGTACCGCAGGTCGTTACTAAGCATGCGTACCGCGGGTCGTTACTAAGCATGCGTACCGCGGGTCGTTACTAAGCATGCGTACCCCGGGTCGTTACTAAGCATGCGTACCGCGGGTCTTTACTAAGCATGCGTAGCGCGGGTCGTTACTAAGCACGCGTACCGCGGGTCGTTACTAAGCACGCGTACCGCTGGTCGTTACTAAGCATACGTAGCAGGGTTCGTAGCCCAGCAAGAGACGCAAGGGCTACGTTGTTTGCCCAGGTTCGGCTGTGTTGTTCTACGAGGCCGCAAATGTGGCGGTGTGGCGTAAATGGGTTTGTGTGCCGCGCTTAATCCCCTTACCGAGCCCGTCGTCCTCGCGTCGAAAAGTGCCTCACGATGGCAAAGGAATTGGGAAAAAAGAGAGCAAAACGAATCGTGAACAACATTCTTGTTACCAAAATGTGGAGGCACGGTATTACAGTGAAACCGAATAGAACTGGAGCTAAAAATAGGCAACACTATGTTATTTGTTCGCTGGGGAGTACTGAAGCTCTGTCTAGATAGCACGATATGTTGCACTCACGGCAGAAAGATCTAAAGCTATATTTAGGCTGCACAACTTTAAATGTCTGCCGTACAAAAATATTTCTTTTCAGGAAAAAGACGATGAATCCAGCAGCGGTATCTTGACGCGCGCTTAGCGGCGGTGTAGTGTCAGTCAGCAGTGGCAGGTCTCGTGTGGTTATCACTTTTATCTCGGCTGTACACAAGTCGCCACTCTCCCGCTCCTCTGTGCTGACACTTTCCTCAATTATCATGGACCATTTACGTACCACGGCTTTTGTAACCATGACAAAGAAACCTGCATCCAACTATTCACTGCCAGATTGTCACCCGCAATTATACGTACGAAATAGATTCGATCTACGAAAAAGTTGTGGAATCCGAGTAGTAAACGATATTTTGATATTAATTACCAGTAGATTTGTCGGATAGTGTAAAATCGTATTCAAAAATCATGTCTGAATAATCGTTCTGTTGTTGGAGTAAGTAATAATTTGTCTATTGGAAGAAAGCAGCGTTACGGAACTTCGGATTAACCGTCAAGCCCCCGGAAATAATCCTCTATGGCCGCGGTTTCACGCTCTGGTGGCATAGGTACAAATGCATCTACACTAGGCTAGGTACGATCTAACGTTGCAAAATTATGCAGTCTAACGAGGATTACACAGTCCTGCTTCTAACGCCGAGATACGCGCCACTTCACCTGTCTGTTAAAATATCTACTCGTCTATATACAGCGTCTGTTTCACTGCCCACGTAATCTGTTACATGAACGTCATCGCTCATTCGGTACACGTATTCCTTTTTTAGCGCATTTTCTCATTTATGGAAAAAATGCACTATTGTGCTCGCCATGTCCGTCTGTCTGTCTGTCCGTCCGTCCGTGATCTCAAGTTTTCGTCGACGAGAAAATGCGCTCTCTGTCACTCACTGCAGTGAGTACTGAGTTATATTTTTTTCACTCTTTCGCATCTCAATTTTCCTCATCCCTCTCCCCACTACCATCAGTCCTCTCTCCGAACCCAAGTCATTGATGGCGTTGGCTCCCAGTAATTGATTCGTTCCGTGCACAATTGGATTACTAATTTACGTGATGCGTGTTGTCTACCTAAACATGAACTTGGTTAATGTGTTGCGTAAAAATTCGTTCTTTGATATATGTGTTATGTTTTCGTGTACGAGTATCATGTCTTTATTCATTAATACATTCATCTTCATTCATTCATGCATAAGTTTTCATTCATTGATACGCGTTAATTTATGCATTGACACTTGAGTATTTATTCATTTATGCATACGTCTTTAAATGATGTTTATTATTGATACATACATATTTATTCATTGATATTTACATTTTATATATTGAATATTCAGGCACGCATTTCATTCTGTGAAGATCTTGTTTATCGAAAAAATTGTTTCGATGGATTTGATGTAATGTCTTGTTATTACTGCTATAGGAATATTTTTCACTGTCTTAGTAACATGAAATAATTTCAGTAATTAAATAATAAAAATATGCAATTTTACTGAAAACATGCAAATCTCTTTGGTCAACATGCAGTGCTATCATGTCACCCTGCAATGCTATCATGTCACCCAGCAGTGCTATCATGTCAACATGCAATGCTATCATGTCAACATGCAATAATATCATGTCATCTATCATCATGCAATGCTATCATGTCAACATGCAATAATATCATGTCATCTATCATCATGCAATGCTATCATGTCAACATGCAATAATATCATGTCATCTATCATCATGCAATGCTATCATGTCACCATGCAACAATATCATGTCATCTATCATCATGCAATGCTATCATGTCACCATGCAACAATATCATGTTAACATGCAGTTGTGTCCGGCAGGCGGTTTATAGGCGGCCACCATACCGCCGCCTGCGCTGCGCGTGGCCAAGCGACGCAGCGGCCGACGCCGCCATGTTCCCCTGACCTCCCCAACCCCCCATATGTCGTCCACCACCCCCTCCCCCCCATACCTGCCACCCCAGCCTCGGGATGCCCTGCCGCTACTCAAGCATCTCCCCAACGGCACTCGGGCGGGGGGGATGGTCCGTTCCCCCACCACTCCCCCTCTCAACGCTGCTCTCCCCCACCACACCCCCCACTCCACTCTGCAGTCCTCGTCCTCGAACCACTCGTCCTCCAGTCAGGGAGGGGGGAGGGGGGTTAGGGCACTAAGGGGGGGAGGTCGTCCCCCGCCGGGACACGTTCTTAACACGTCAGCGCTGTCCTTCAAGCCCTCCCTGGGGGGCAACAGCGGCTCCGTTAGCCCGACACACACGGGTCAGACTTCGTTACTAATTAATACCGTACTAAGAAATATTACTAACAAATGATCAACGATAAAAATTATTATCAACAAATAATTAATACTAAATATTAATAAAAAATAATTAATAATACTAAGTATTATAAACAAATAATTAATAATACTAAATATTATAAACAAATAATTAATAATACTAATAAATACCACTAACAAATAATAAATAATACTAAATATTATTAACAAATATTTAATAATACTAAATATTACTATCAATAATTAATATTAACAACACTGGTTGACATACTACTCATAAATGAGCATATTTAGTTCGCCTTTGAATGGCTGTTGTTACCCGCAATAAAATGTCAATTTGTAGGTTTTCTTATATGTTAGCGTGAAGATTATCAGCTAAGGCTTCTTGGTTCAGATTTTACGTACCCCGAGCTGTGATTTTAACTGGTTATACTAATTAATGTTATTAATTCATCGTCTTCTAACGCATTTTTTATCGATATACCTATTAGGTGTTGTTAATTAATGCTCTCAATTTGTACTATTTATCAATGTTACATGATATTTTCGATGTTGATCTTATTATTCGGTTCCAATAATAGATGATCTTATTATTTGGTTTCAATAATTGATGATGTTATTATTCGGTTCCAATAATTGATGATGTTATTATTTGGTTTCAATAATTGATGATGTTATTATTTGGTTCCCATAATTGATGATGTTATTATTTGGTTTCAATAATTGTTGATGTTGATAAAGGCAGCATCATAACTGAACTCACACTTGCCCCCAGGTACAGGCACCCGCACCACAGGTCTCGACCAGTCCCGCGACAACTCTCACCTCACGGACCTGTCGCACATCTCCCGCCTCACGCCCCTCTCCAAAGCCCATCACCTCCACCACCATCATCACCACCTCACCAACACTAGCAACACCAGCAGTATCAACAACACAACTACCAGCATCAACGGCGGTATCTACCCTCCTCCCATGAGGAATGGGGTTCTTAAGAACGCTTCCCCGAGTTCTGCTGCAGGACTTTTGCCGCGTATCCTGCTCCCTGGCAGAAGGATATCCTCCTCATCCAGAGGGCTTCTCCAAACCCTAGGGTTCCTATGTCTGACGTCGCTGATCATGGCGTCGCTGGCGCTCACGTTCCTCTTGGAACTCATACCTAGTGATGGCCTCACTAGTGACGCTAGTGGTAGTAATTCTAGTGCCGTGCTGCCCTACAAGGTGGCTCGTGACGTGAGCATTCCCCTGGCGGCAGTCACGCTGTCGCTGGACCTCTTCTGTCTGCTGGTCTGCGCCGCGCAGTTCATGTTCGCGCTCAAGCTCCAGCAGACAGCTGGCGGCGAGGACAGGTGGGGCTGTGGTGGGGTGTGTGATGTAGTGTGTGGTGGGGTGTGGTATGGTGGGACGTGTGGTGTAGTGGGGTGATTTGGGGTGTGTAGTAGTGTGGTGGAATGTGGTGTAGTGGGTTTGGTGTGTGGTGTGTGGGGGTTGTGATGGGTTTGGCGTGGTGGGGTGTATGGTGATGAAATATATATTGAGTGCAATCTAGGGGTGGGGAATATATTGTATGACGTATAGAGGAATAACGAGAATATAATATTTGATGTGTCGAGGTATATGTTGAGTGCAATGTAGTGGTGAGAGATATCTTGTGTGATGTGGTAGTGATGGATATGTTGAGTGTGATATTGTGGTAATTAAATGTGTTGTTAATATTGTGATCACGTGACTGACTGCTTCTCCTGCCCTGCAGAGCCGCGCACTACCTGCGCCAGTCGTCGGTGTCGCGCGTGTGCGCCGTCACGGGCTTCTTCCTCTCCGTCCCTCTCCTCCTCACAGGTATGGGCCCTCCTCACAGGTCTATTTCCCCATAAGTATGGGCCCTTTTCTCAGGTCTAGGTCCTCACAGGTATGGGCCCTCCTCACAGGTATGGGCCCTCCTCACAGGTATGGGCCCTCCTCACAGGTCTATGTCCCCACAGGTATGGGCCCTTTTCTCAGGTATAGGTCCTCACAGGTATGGACCCTCACAGGGATGGGTCCTTCTCTCAGGTAAGTTTCCTCTTTAAGATTGCATGTCACAAGGATGAGTAATTATTACCCCGTGGAGATAAAGGTGCTGGTTGCCCAATAAGGGAGAGGGTGCTGAATCCTTTCTGAGGCAGAGGGTGTTAAGTACCTCATGAGACTTAAGGGAGATCGTACTGAATGCTTCATCAGGCAAAAGGAAAAGATACGAGAGTATGACTGAGCTCATTACCTCATGAGAGAGAGTGCCGGTTACCTTATAAACTTGACGATGCAAATTAATTCATAAATGAATATGAGATTACAATTAGACAAAACCAAAAATTTCACAAGAGGTAAAATTGACTTTACTCGCAGCGTACCGTGATGCAGTGTACTGCAGGGCATTGAGTCTCATGCTGTGTTGTGTAGTGCAACTACATCAGTTCCATTGCTGCTGTCTGACCATTGGCTAACATTAACATATCTTAGTCTGGGTACTCGAAACGAATGGTATTGAAATAGTTAATTAGTTAATATTTAATTCATCCTCTGGAATAAGGAATAAGAAGTACCGATAAGAGATCCTTCCTAAGTAGATTGAACCGAGCCTCATTAGGCGTCGGCTGTAACTTGTGCCATAATTGGGTGTCAATTTGGTTCGGCTCTTGACACGGATTATCAGAAATTTCGATCTGAAGGATCACACTGCTATGACTGATCAGGTACATGAGGGGAAATACAGAATAAAATGCGTCTTGAGCCTGCATTGTAAAATATCCTCGTGCAAGCAAATAAAAATGTTGTGCACGTGTTGAAAAATGTTCGTTTTGATACGTTGTTTGTTGCAGGCGTGTTGGTGCACACGTTGCTGGTGCTGCGCTCCATTCCTGCCACGATCATGTCTGCCTTCATCGGCGCCGGCATCTTGCTGTGTGGCGTGTCTATGATCCACAATGTGGCGGTGTGGCAGAGGGTGGGTTTCTGGTTTTGTAGAAACCGATAAATTGTCCACCGATGATACCACCTAACGATAATAAAGAATATTTATGAAAATACCTCTTGAGAATTTGGTAAAACTTGGCGCATTTTGCATTTGCTTGTTCTGGATTTACACCAGAAAATAAGCCTGAACAAGCAATAAAATACCCAAAATAGAGACGCTTTTCTTGTATACATGCGGGTTGCTAGAAAAATTACTTTTTTATTCAGTAATGCACTTGGAAATAAGCTGCATTCAAATGCATGATGCGTGCAGGCCATTTTCTTCACCGTTTTTGAATAACATAAAAACACAAAGTAATTGTATAATTTTCGATAACTTCTTCATTATATTTTACAGCACAAAAGAAAGTCTACGGCGCGTGAGCAGCTACAGCAGTCGCTGGTAGCCTCCTCCCCCTATGGAGGTCATCGTAGCAACGGGGGAGTACAAATGAGACCTCCGTCTCACCCCCTACACAGCACCTCCTCCCCACTACCCCCCACCACCGTGGACCTCTCGGCAACCATGCACCCAACCCACGAGCTTTCTACCCTCGTCTGATCGCAACATCTATTCAGGATATCTTTAAGAGTCTTGCGACGCAAAGCCACAAAGTATTGAAGATCATAAAAAAATTTGAAGTCCTTAGGAAAACATTGCAAAAAATTCTTTATTTGGCATGAACTTGATTGTGGTGCAACGTTCTACGCCAGAATACTGGTATCTGCACGGTATTCACGGTTTGCGATTACATATTACGAGCTCCCGATACCAACACAAAGCTGACGCCGATGCAAGAATTGCTGCGACTAGCGAGCAGTTCTTCTAACTTATTGAGTTTTACTGTAAAAAGCTTGCTTATACTAATTATAAAATCTAAATTCTATGCATGGTTCGCGTGAACCTTAGACATATTATGAAACAATGGAAACACTATCGAATTTGGTTCACGCGTTGACGTAAATTTGCAATTTGTCATTTGCGTGGAGTGTAAACTTACACTTGATGGCTGATTTATGCGTTAGCTTCGTAGAGGAAAATTTAAATTGATGATTTGACAAGTGCTCACTGTTGCTACAAGAAATTTTTTTATGGCTTTTGTTGTTCTCACCAATGAAAGTTTTTCGTGCAAGTGATTAATTAACGAGATCAAACTTTGCTCCTTCTCCGATGCATTTCAAAGAAAGAGAAGTTTGGTAAATTATGGAGCCTCGTACGGTTGTCAGAAAAAGCAAGCTACACCAACCGCAGGGTCCCGTACGCTCTGAAGACATGCGTCTCATTGTGTAGTTGCTCTTCAAGTACAAAGACTCAGTGTGTGTATGCTTCTATTTTTGCAGGAGGAATTTTATTCATAATTGAAATGTTTTCTGGATGTTAATATGATAGTGAATTAGGTACTCAATTATTTATCATGTTGAATACTGAACATGAGAATTTCCTGATGAAATTGTGAAGCTATACAACAACCGTCGGTACGTTCCAATAACGCCTCTACGACTGACATATGTTCCCTTCACTGAAATGTGGTTTAATAATGATAGTCTTTAACATAGTACGGCACACAAGACTTTTGTGGTATCCTACATCCTTGTTACTTAAGCTCCTAGTTATTGCCAGATGCTTCAATGTTTCGTGTATGGCCCGCATCACGGAGACGTATAAAGACCCTAGAGTTGACTTTACCATTATTTGGAATAAGTACTATTCAAAGTAAACACATTTGTTAACGTGAACCGTGTTCACTAGATATTATTACTTGCATAGCTAAATGATGCTGTTGATAACTCTCGTCATAGCTTTCTCGGAAGCTATGAGAAAGCTGAATCTTTACCTCTCCACATTTTAAGTAATGTTGAATTTGAGGTTTGATTTTTTTTTCTATAGCCTACTTCAAAGTTGTATTCAAGATTTCCTTGTTAAAAGTCAGCTAAACTTGTCGTGAACAAAATATTACTGCAGAGTCTTCAATGCTTCCAGATGTGCGTATTGACGTCACCACGAACTGTATTATGAAAATTTTGATTAACTCTAGAATCTCAAGTTATGAGTGGTAGTCAAAATCATTTTAAGCAAATCAATTCGGTTATCGAATAACGTGCATAGAGCGTGTTCGGCAGCTCTTAGTTTTCATAGTCATCCTTACGATTTTTAGTCGGATTACAGGTCGTCTCAAGATGTTTCATGCATTGTGATAACAATTACACTAGACTAGAATAATGCGATGCTGCAGCTATCATATTATATCATAATATATTATATCTTGCAGCAGCATGTTCACAAATTACATCCCTTTTTAGATCATAATCATCATTTGTAAGCGCCTACGTTTGCATAATATGATTTTTTGCTACAACAACCATGACTACTACATATCATACCCGAGTATTATTGTTTGGATGGGTGGATATGGGGCTCTACTCTACATAATAGCAGCGAGGTGTATGTAACAGTTGATTGTGTTAAGTATGATTAGAGTTCTGTCATACTTGACATTGATGAAGCAACGATTTCAGAGGGCTATTGAGAAAGAAGACTGTTCACAGAAATGTAATTACGTACGTGTGGGAAGATGTTGCAAGCTATTTCAATATCATTTAGGAGGTCAGAATATAAGTGTACAAATCTTATTTTACTTTAAGGTAACGTGAAACTGCCATTTATGTACATAATTTGAGGCATCTCTACATTTGTTACTGATGTGCATTCAGATCTTCAAATTTATTCTGTCTGCGCGCTTACTTTCCACAGTAATGAATAAAATTCTTATCTTTAGCACTGAAGTATTTATAGGTGTATATAGTTGTTATTGTAATATTTATATACACTGAATTGAGTAAATGCAACTGTTACATTTGTTCACTTTGTCAAAAAACCCACAACGACATGTCAAGCAAGGATTAATTATTAATGAAATTGAGCGTGATTGCAGTATATTAACCATTATAGGAATTACATAATTACATTCTATATAAATAAATACACAGAAAAGCCTTAGATCATGACGGAATGTAGTGCGTTACTTAGCAAACAGACTATGAATAGAAATTCTTCAAACAAATAGTTACCCAGATGTTTGATGAAATATCAACTTTATCTTATACGACATTCAAAATTTTCTAAAGGATGATACCTACTTCTGTACACGTACATAATAATAAAAATCACGCATTATGAAAGATTATAGTCTTCAAAGAGTAGACTATGAAGAGTCTGCAAGCAACCGACTATTTTGTTACTGAAATAAAAGCCATGCTCGTATATATACAGCCTTTTTTTCACCACTAGAATATAAGAGAGGAAGAACAATATAGAATTGATTCATTTCTCTTTGAAAGATGCTGTAGTTTTTGAACCAGAACACAAAGGCATGTTATCTTCAGCAAATGCTTGGTATACATAACTTGCTATGACTAGATTAACCGCTATCACAGCAGCAACTGCTCCATAAATGTACCCCTCTTTATGGGTCATCTCCAGATCATGCTGGATAAAGTTCCTGGTTTTGAAATATGCCAAAAATGGAAGTGTGCACATGGCTACAGTATGGATGAAGAGCTTCAGCAAGACGCGTGGTTTGGCAGGTTCGGTGTTTTCTGTAGTCGGAACCAGGCAGGGCTTGGAAGGCATCACTCTCTCAGGGGTTGCCATGATAATAGCTGGAACAGAAGTTCATATGAACAGCTAAATTGACTAGATCAGTTTTCAATTTCTTAGATAACTTAAGTGCAGTTCAATTTATAGTAGTTAAAGTCTGGTTTGGATGAGAATTGTAGTTTAACATTGTAACTGGAGAGATTAGACTCCCCTGTGACTTTGTACAAGGGCAAAAATCTATTCAAATACCAAAAACATGTAGAGATGTTTAAATAATTAGGTTGTTAAAAATTAAATAACCACAGTTACATTCATCAACTTCAACACAAGCAAGAACTAGCCAGATTTAAGACAAATGGGACATCTAACAAGTACCGGTACTGACTTCCAAACAAGACATTTTTGTAACTAATTAATGAGGTTACAAAATTAATTCTATATTTTTAAGGCAATTCTTTGGTAGGAAAACTACACATCTTGCTTGAGTCTGCTTTTCTTTATATATTTTAGGTAAATCTGTAATAGTATAAATCAATCCTGCAAAAATAAAAAGAAAATTAGATTAGAAATAATCTGGCTCCAAAAATTGCATGAAACCTCTACTCATGGCTCAAAAGTAGATATTTTGTACACTCAATTTCCAAGAGAGCAGCAACACTCATTACTATTAGGCAGTTGTTGATAAACAAAATGTAAATATTTTGTTGATAAACAAAATAGGCAGTTGTTGATAAACAAAATGTAAGAATGAATAATGTAACTGTGCCAAAAGACTGTAATATCAAGCAAAATTTCCCTCAATTGCTGGTAGTCCTGGTACTAATGATTATTTCAATGGTTATATTTTGAAAAATTATTTAGGAGGAAAATATCAAGGTTTTCTTAATTTTTGCAGAAAAAAGTTAGACAAAGGCACAGGATTAGGTAATAATATTTACAGGCACAGCCATTTTTATTCCACTGAGTAGGTAGCGTTTGCATTTCTACACAATTTTCCTGTTGGACTTAGCAGCCAATAGTGCTCATCTCTTATTGCTTAATATGGAGGAATTGGGAGAGATTTATCTATAGATATGAAGTTACAATGAGCATATTTGATAAAAAAAATCTCTAACTGTAAACTGGATTGCATAGTTCCCTTAATAAAATGACTCATCAGTGTCATGTTCAGACAAAGTTCAAAGCATGAAGCCTGTCCACCAAACTGGAAAATTGGTAAGAAGCAACCAGTGAATTGGACAAAAATGATTATGAATTCAGCCAATTTCACCCATTCCTATGACCCCTTCCCACTTTCTTCAGTAAAAAATTTAAATAGACTATTTTCAACAATAATTTTAGAAAAATCACCCATGAAACAATCTTTTTATAAGCAATTTAAGGAATTTTTAATTTTAAAATTTAATTTTAAATTTAAATTTTTTCCTTATTCCTTACATTTTTAATTCCTTAATTAATTTAATGATATTATCAGTGGATATGTATATAATGGACTGAAAATGGAAAGTTCCTGGCCTTTCCTAACTTTCACGTCCTGCTTTCCAATAAGCTATGTGTGCTGGTTAATTTAATACTCATCTAGAATTCACACTGGTCACTGGTCACTAGACTGATCCTGGAGAGTCTAATACTAATAGATGAAAAAATTTTCACAAACTGTTGCCATATTTATTTAAAAGCCTTTAGAATTCAAATCTACAAAATTGCTGAATTCCAACAGACCGACACTGTGTGTGTCATGTGACTAAATGCGGCATATTGTGAGACTAATTCCGACAGCACTTCAAAATTGCAATTCATAATTCCAACACCCTGTGTGAGGCTGTGAGCTGTGTCAGAATACGACACCCTGTGTCATGGCTGTGTGTCATAATTCTGACACTATGTCGAAATTAGTTTTTATGTGTCTAAAACCGTCTCTTAAATGTTAAATCAATCATCTATTAATTTATTTACCAATTAAAATTAGAAAATACAAGTATACCTAAAGGATTCCTAATATGTTCACAGACTTATTTAAAAGTCTCAAACCATAATAATCTTTCTACACAAACAGTTTATCACTATTTATACCAGGTACTCAGGTAGGCATGTAAGTCAACTTTCAATTTTTTTAATTAATTAATCCAATTGATTAATGAATTTCAATTTTTTGAGGTATTTTGCACTCACAAGCAAGTTGAGCTCTAAATAAAATACTGACTCAGTTTAGTCTATAGGGTTAAGACGTTACAGCATTTTCTCCAGTCTGTATCCAGACAATCAAATATATTGCTGCTGAATGCTGATTATTGCAATGGAAGTGGTCTCCTTACTCTTAGTCTATATAGCCTAGTCTGAGTTCAAAGACTTAACTTCGTCAGACGTCAAGTAATTATAACTTTCATATCAAAGATTCATGAAAATATTTTTTCATTTCACAAAACGTAACGCAAATTTTTTTTACCTTTTTTATAGGAGAAGGGCGGGGAAACACTCAATTGTCAAAGTTGAAGATGCTGTGGAGACGTGCACTGTACTCTCAACTGTCTCGTGACCAAAGTTCCACTGTTTACAAATAAACGAAGTTACGTTCAAACAGAAATCTTGCTCCAGAAGCAGTTGGTGAGATGCTTCGCGTGAGTGACTAATACGACACTTTTGGCACGAGTTTCGAGTAAAATTTTATTTCAGCCTACTCACGGTAAAATATTAGAAATAATTGCTCGCTCATGAAATTGAAAATATCATTACAACCTAAGCATTATGAAAATGCGCCCTTATATACCTTATATATACGAACGTTTGAAGTTTTGTAGAAGATATCTACCATGGTTGAACTATTAGATATCTACCAAGGTTGAACTATACTACCTAGTTCAACCATGATACCAACAGCCCTGTTGAAATTGACAAGCCAAATTAAATGGGCAGGGAAACTTTGCCGATAATTGACTAAACAACTCGCGAGTGGGGAGAAAGTCAGTTGCGTTTGCCGTGGTAGCACGTGTGTGAATTGCGATCTCTAAACGTCTAAAGTAACCGGTAAATTTGTGACTCAAAGTTTCTTAACTGTGAAGTCACTCACCAATCAAGAATGGGCTCGCAAATGGTCAGATGATGTACAAGAAACAGGAAAAGGGACCTTCCGAAGAAGTTTGGGACCTGAGATATCTTATGTGGACTATGGATCGCTGCCACGCTCAGTTGAATGCGCTGTGTCACGTCTACGCCTTGGGCATGCTGGCATCAATGCTCATCTGGCCAGATTCAATTTAGCTGACTCAAGTAACTGCCTAATATGCAATGTGGAGGGCACAATCTGGCACCTCATCCTGCACTGCACACAATTCATCAACCAGCAAAGAGATTTCCGTACTAGACTGGAGGGCCTTTCTCTGCCCTGGGATCTCTCCTCAGCTCTCGGCGGTGGGGATGCCCCAATGAGGTGACGCACTGCTGCCATCCGACATCTTGGTCAATATTTGCTTAACTGCAACATGGTTACCAGGCTGTAAATATTCTACCAAGCCTAATTGTACCTTTTCTTTTCACAATTTACTGCCGCACTGGCTGGTGGAGGTGCTAGAAAGTAAAGAGATCTAAAAGTGAAGTGAAGTGTCCAAAACCCCATTTGTGCTCAGGCTGGGAGGTGTGCTACCGGCATACCCGAAGCCTACAAATCAATTATAAAAAAAATGGCCCCGTCCACCCGGTCACAGTTATTATCAATCTTGCATGTCAAGCTAAAGTTTGACATGCAAAATAGAAGACTGAAGAACGTCCACGTGATAAAAAACTTTGAAGTTCTCTATATTCTGCTCTTTAGTATGGAATGCTTCCATTCATTCCGAATGATTCAAAAGTTTGCACATTTTACAATGTAACAGGTGCGTTGCCGATTCGGTCATCTGCAGTGCTCCACTGGACTGATCTCTCTTTTCTGGTTAATCTTGCTGGTTGTTATAGCAGTTTCAGCTTTTATTAGGCCATAGGCCTGTTGCCGATTCTTAACATTGCAGAACATCCACAGGCTACAGCTTGTTGCGGTCTCGAACTCATGACTCACTGATTTAAATTCTGCCCCCCAGCCTTCTCGCCCATTCTGACCAGAAACTGGCGCACAGAGCTGGGATCGAACCCGCGCCTCTGTGCGTCAATCTTGGTACTCTGAACTTTAATCACTGGGCCACCCTGCCCAGATTATGGCACACTTCACCAATCACCATGGATGTAAGTAGAAATATGCGATGTAGCATGTAGGCCATAATTGTTTTGTTCAAGGTTTCAGTAGGGCTTTTCCTAGCCAATTTTCGCGAGTTGGTGTAAAAGCTATTACTCTTTTCGTAAGTTCCTTGAAATCCTTATTGAACCAAATAGATGTCACATATAACATGTTGGTTTGAGACCACTGACCAATTGTTTCATGCTTGTCATCTCCATAAAAACATTTGATCTATGTCCCAGCCAATGATCAGATAGATATCTTAGGTCTCGGACAAATTTATGGCTGGACCTGCAGCTGGTCTCATGGCCGGAAAGGTTTTCTTAGTGTTTAATGGGTTTCTAGTTTTTTTTTGTGTTTTTAATGGAACCTGTTTGGGCAGTTCCTAACTGGACCTAACCTGCGAGGTTTTCGTTGATTGGCTAGGCTTTTTCTATGTTTGGAGTCCTGCGGCCATGAGAGATTGGCCTTGGCTCCGGCCGTAAATTTGTCCGAGACATGATATTTTTGTATCCACAGTAAAACAGTATGGCTCTACGTGCAGAAGAATACCATCCAATTCACGTTCTGCTCATAGGGTATACCCAAATCTCACGGTCTCGCCTTTTAAAGCACTTTTGCTCTAGCCAAGTATGTCAACCAAGCTAGGAGCCAATAGACAAGTACATGTCCGGTGCTGAATTCGTTTCTTTCGAGAAATAGCTCATGGACTCGCAATAAAATAAAATGTTAAATTATTAATAATAATAAATTTAGAAAAATTAAAACAATCTAGACATCATTTATAGGTCCAAATAAATGCATACAAGGTCCCAAAAGGATTACTAGAATTTGAGACAAGAACCAACACCAGGGGCCTCAGCTATATACTAAAAAACTACGTTTTAAACCATCCATGCGACAACATTTCGTCTCGCTTCAAGTCACCGACATTTAGAACAGCTTCTCTGATAGCATCGTTGAAGCTCCAAGTATGAATGCCTTCAAGAACAGACTAGATGAATCTATGTAGGAGCATATGTTCAGTCTTGAAATGCCTAGCACCTTACGAGCCTTGCAATTAGTCCAACAGCTATCTCAATCAATTTGTCAGTTTTGGAAAGATCGGGTTCAGATGGCCAGATCCCTTGTTTAATCAAGTCACGAAAAGTATAAGGATCGGTAACAGGCCATGGGCCTATTTCTTTAGTCCCAACACATCTATTCTATTCTATGTGCAAAGTTTTATGGAGCTATGTTCATTGTTATGAGCCTTGCAATAAGTCCAGCAGCTATCTCAATCAATTTGTCAGTTTTGGAAAGATCGGGTTCAGATGGCCAGATCCCTTGTGGAATCAAGTCACCCAAAGTCCAAGGATCGGCAACAGGCCATGGGCCTATTTCTTCAGTGCCGACACGTCTATTCTATTCTATGTGCAAAGTTTCATTGAGCTATGTTCATTGGTTTGAAAAAAAATATCATGCTCACTTCAAGTTTGACACTTAGCCACAGAAATGTTGGTTTCTTCTCTGAACATATAGCCTAAAACATAAACATTGCCGTAACATCACCGACAGAAACATCTCCGTTAAGTAATTAGAAATGTTTATTCAAGCTTACACTCGAATATATATATACTTTAGTTGAGAAACTATTCATGTTCACTGCAAATTTTAGCAGTTATGACCGGAAATGAATTAGGAAAAAAAATTCAAGACCTAAACATCACCTTTAGGTCCGAAATAATATCCTATGTAATGTATGTACAAAGTTTTACTGAGCTGCATTCATCAGTTTAGCAGATATTTCATGCTCACTTAAATCATGGGCACCGGCCGCAAGTCCCAGCTGCAGATTGTCCGAGAGGTCTTTGGCCTTAGGCTGCGCACCCGGGCTACTAACCGAATAGACATTCTCCGAACATGCCTGCGGACTCAAACTCCCTTGCGCAACTGCTCCAATCATAACCCCTTCAATTATGAACGGATTTGCTCGAACTTCATACTTTAACTAGTTATTAGTAATTCGATGCCAGAGAAATTCTTACAGAGATCTACCTTAGTTGATTTACCATTAAAACGAACGTTTGTGCAACTGCCAATCCTCTTTTAATTATGAGCAGATCTGCTTGTGCTTGAAATTCATGATAACCAATGCTTAGGATGGTCAAGAAGAATTCAATGTTCATTATTCTTTCATAAGGTTGAAAATCGCAAACATGTACACAAATATTTCGAAACGCCATTTGTTCACGCATTGCGTACCTTATAGTTCGTTAGTAATGTGCATCTGCTAAGGCTCAGGTAATCTCCTGTGATGGGGGCGTGATTGACGACAGATAGGCATTGTCTGATTATACTCCGATATAAGTGAAGTCATTTTAGTCATCTCTGCACTGCACCTATAACCAGTCACCACGGTGTTATGGGCTGTCACTCTTACTGCTGGAGAGTGGTGGTAACCTTGATCCCACTTGGGGAAGTAACGCTCCCCCAGTTCCGAGTTAATGTAGAGTTGTTTTTAGAATCTTGAAATTCATGGTAAACATCAATATTTGTGTTATCAGTGCTCTCCATCTCATTCTCTTTGCCCTTTTTGCAGACCATTATTTTATGTGTCAGTGGTGATTCAAATTCCAAATCTCCTATCAGTTGATACCCTATACTCACACTACTGCCTGTGGTTGGTGAGTAGTTGCCAAGATATAGATACCTTTTTTAATCACTGCTCATATATTCATTGATGAAGATTTTAATGTTGTGTTTTTGAGAATAACATTATAGATGAGAAATATATTTATCTGTTATCCTGCTTGATAGTTTATTGTGTATATATGTTTTGAAGTTTGTATTGATGTTGCGTTTAATAATAGTGTGTTAGGTGTTGATAATGTAAATATTTTACAGAAGCATCTTCAAGTACTTCAAATAAGCGACCCATGCCCCGTTTACCCGGTTGCCTAGTTGTACAGTTGCCTGGTTGCTAGTTGTCCAGTAGCCCATTTGCCTAGTTGCCTAGTGTCTGGTGTAGCAGTTATACTGTTATTTGGGTATACGGTTCTGGTTGCCCAGTTATCCAGCTTGTAGTTAAGGTGATACCTTTAGTTGGGTTCCACCCAGCTTCCCAGTTAACTGTATTCGGTTATCCAGTTATTTGGTTAGGCTTTTGTTTTAGAGCTTTCTCTTAGGTTTAAAGTTTAAGTCCCTTTATAGTGAAGTTTTGTATTAGAATTAAATAAAGTTGGACCAACAAGAGAAAAACACCTGGTGGACAGGGATGGCTATAAGGGGAGTTGGGAGGCCATCTTTTATTTAACCCTTTAGATTTTAAAGAACCTTGAATACCTTCCCTCACTTAACTAATAAAGACGACCCATTACAATGGCACCACCATTTTCCATTTTATGCCCCCGCAGCCCTGCTCGTTCTGATCTTATTAACATATTAACTGCACTTGATGTTCCAGTTAATTTAAAAAACCTGCTGGAAAGAGGACCTTTATTTCTAGTGTATTGTCATCCAGGATAGGACTGCAGGATGCAATTGTTAGTTAATGCAGTTACCTCCTTTTAAATCTCAATTAACATGCTTAAGGGGAGGATATCTGTCAAAATCTATTTTCTATATTCAGGGAAGGATCATCTCCAAATCTGGGACTTACACAAATGTAAAATAAAAAATAAGGACTAGGGTAAACGCAGTAGTATATTCCGAAACATTAAGGATGTAGCAAGAAATGAATGGCTATAAATAGATATCACCGTATGCGCAACTCGAGTTCTGATTGGTTTACGTCACTCTCAAAACACCACACTAGGGTAAACGTGGTATTATGCCGATATATGCCGACATCGTGGGTAATTCTGACACTTCTCAACTTTTTCCTTTATATTGAGCTTTGTCTTAGTTCCACACATTCGTTGATGGTTGAAATAGTGACGTCATACTATTGCACGCCATACTATTGCCAAGACACTGGGTCTGGGCCATCTGGCGGGAAAATGTTAAGATCCAAAGAGAGACAGTGCACATCACCCAGTGAGAACATCAAAAAAAGTGTCAAAGTTGATAGTTGACCTTGCTCTACCAAATAGTGATAAAATGTTTGTGTATAAAGAATATTATGGTTTGAGACTTTTAAATAAGTCTGTGAATATATTAGGAATCCTTGAAGTATACTTGTAGTTTGCTGATTTCAAGTGGTAAATAAATTAATAGATGATTATGTTGAGCAACGGTTTTAGACACATAAAAACTGATTCCGGCACAGCCTGGAATTAGACACACACAGCTCGTTCCGAGCTGTGTCCAAATATTAAAATTTTCCTAATTAAGCTTGTTCTGAGCTGTGTCGTATTCTGATAATGTTCACACAGGTAATCAGAATTCCAACACAGGGTGCCAGAATTACAAATTAATAGAGTTTGAAGCGCTGCCGGAATTAGTCTCACAATATGCCAAATTAAATCACACACAGCGTCGGAATTCAGGGATTTTGTAGGTTGGAATTCTAAAGGCTTTTAAATAAATATGCCAACATTTTGTGACGTTTCATCATTGCTGGTGCGTAGTGTGGTGTTTTGAGAGTGACGTTAACCAATCAGAACTCGAGTTGCGCATACGGTGATATTTTTATAGCCGTTCATTTCTTGCTACGCCCTTAATGTGTCTGAATATACTGCGTTTACCCTACGCGCCAGCAACGATGAAATGTCACAAATTCTTGACATATTTATTTAAAAGCTTTTAGAATTCAAACCTACAAAATCCCTGAATTCCGATGCTGTGTGTGACTAAATTTGGCATATTGTGTGACTAATTCTGGCAGCGCTTCAAACCAGGGTTGGCGATTTTTTTGATTTTTTTAAAAAAATCAAAAAAATCAAAAATCAATGATTTTTTTGATTTTTTCATGATTTTTTTAATTGTTGAAAATGAAGCATTGGGAGACATGTGGTTCCAGCAGGATGGGGCTACAGCTCACACAGCCCGAATGTCACTCAATGTTTTGAAATGCATGTTCCCAGACTCTGAGGGGTGATTTCCAGTGGCCTGCGAGGTCACCTGATATGAGCATTTGCGATTTCTTTCTTTGAGGACGTCTAAAAGAAAGGAGTTCAGAAGTCACCCTCACACCCTACCACAGCTAAAGGAACGGATTATTGCAGCAGAGGTTATGGCCATACCTCGCCATATGTGTGAACGTGCTATAGAAAACTTCCGAAAACGACCCCAACAGTGTGATGCAGCTAACAAACCCCATCTTCCTGATATTGTTTTCGAAACATAAGTATTTTAAATGGTATGTTATGATAATCTTGAGGAAAAAAAACTTTCTTCTTTATGTACCTCCATTTTTCTTTTATTTTGCCTCAAAACTGTTCAATCAGTTCTGCCCCACCCTGTATAAGCTAGCTAACACATTTAAAGTGTATATTGTAATCAATATATAACAAATAGTCAAATAGTTAAAGACTACTTATAGGTAGCCTTATAAGAATTAGCTAAGCTGCTAGCTATGTACAATGTATTGTACACTTGATGCTGTTACCGGTGTCTCAACGCGGGTGAGACGAACTCGTCGCCTACTTTGACTAACTTGTTGGTAACCAAGAATTAGTGAAACTAATATGATGACTAGAGGTTGAAAAGGAAAATGAAACGCAAATACTGGTTCTAATAACTATTGGGATCTCATACAGTGAAAGTGACAGAATAATGACAGAATAAAGGGAAATGTGTAAGACTGATTAGCTGAAGCTGAACTAAATATGACGCCAAGTAAAAATGCACACGGACCAATGAGTAAGATGCACACCAATAACTGCTTCCAATGCAAGTCAGTCAGGAGGTTTATAGGGTGCTAATCACTCAAGAGGTCAAGGACTAAGGAGAGCATTCCAGCAAATCACTTGAGAGGTTAGGGACTAGGGAGCGTGGGACAGCAATTTATACAGCACTACACTTTAGAATAGTTTTTGGCATAAATTTATGTAATCAATTACTGATCTAAACCTGACCTGAAAAGAATGAGAGTTATTTTAGTTGAATTTATAAAATAGTTAGACACTTCAATATAAACACAGTAACACACATAAGAGGGAAAAAGGGGACAACATATAAGAGGAACAAGAGGGTGTGCTGCAAAGTAGCCTAAACCACCCCCGCCAACAATGCCTCTGTACCAAAAACATTCAATTTATTGGAACCTAATACACACTAAAGGCAACAAGTTTATGTACCAATTTGTCATTCATAGTACATTTATACTAAGCCATGAATAACAATACCTCAATATAAATTAAAGACTGCCGCTCAATATATTTAAATATATGAAAAAAATAAAAAAAATCGAAAAAATAAAAAAAATCATGATTTTTTTATAAAAAAATCAAGTGATTTAATCACATGATTTAATCATTTTGATTTAATCATTGCCAACCCTGCTTCAAACTCTATTGATTTGTAATTCCGGTGCCTGTGTTGGAATTCCAATGCCCTGTGTGAGCTGTATTGGAATACGACACAGCTCAGAACGAGCTTAATTAAAAATTTTAATTTTTTAATTAGGCTTTTAATTAGAGCTATTAAGCTTTTAATTAAGAAAATTTCAATTTTTGGACACAGCTTGGAATGAGCTGTGTGTGTCTATTTCCAAGCTGTGTTGGAATTAGTTTGTATGTGTCTAAAACCGTCGCTCAACTTAATCATCTATTAATTTATTTACCACTTGAAATCAGCAAATACAAGTATACCTAAAGGATTCCTAATATATTCACAGACTTATTTAAAAGTCTCAAACCATAATATTCTTTCTACACAAACAGTTTATCACTATTTGGTAGCGTAAGGTCAACTATCAACTTTGACACTTTTTTCGATGTTCTCACTGGGTGATGTGCACTGTTTCTTTGGATCTTAACATTCTCCTGCCAGACGGCCCAGACCTAGTGTTTTGGCAATAGTATGGTGCGCAATAGCATGATGTCACTATTTCAATCATCAACAAATGTGTGGAACTAAGACAAAGCTTTATACAAAGGAAAAAATTGAGAGGTGTCAGAATTACCAACGATGTCGGAATATACCGCGTTAACCCTATTTTGTTCCTGTGAATTTTTTGAAAAAAATGAAAGAAAATGTGAAATTCATAGAAAACTACCAAAAAAGGGGGTATTTTAGAAAATTTAATGCATCATAAAATTTAGGTATGTGATGTTGTTATGGGCTGTCACTCTTACTGCTGGAGAGTGGTGGTTACCTTGCTCCCACTTGGGGAAGTAACGCTCCCCCAGTTCCGAGTTAATGATTGTGTATATATGTTTTGAAGTTTGTATTGATGTTGTGTTGAATAATAGTTGTGTTAGGTGTTGATAATGTAAATATTTTACAGAAGCATCTTCAAGTACTTCATAAGCAACCCATGCCCCTTTTGCCCGGTTGTCCGGTAGCCCGGTAGTCCGTTTGTACGGTGGTACAGTTGCCAGTTTTCCGTTTGCCTGGTTGCTAGTTGTACAGTTGCCGGTTGTCTGGTTTAGGAGTTATATGGTTTTTCAAGTATACAGTTAATGGTTTTCCAGTTACCCAGTTAATTGGCTAGGTTTTTTGATTTAGGTTTCCCTACCTTGTTTAAATTTTAAGTTCCTTAATAATTAAATCTTGTATTAGAATTAAATAAAGTTGAACAAAAGAGAAAAACACCTGGTGGACAGGGATGGCTATAAGGGGAGTTGGGAGGCCATCTTTTATTTAACCTTTTAGATCTTAAAGAACCTTGAATACATTCCCTTGCTTAACTAATAAAGACGACCCATTACAATGTGCCACATTGCCTGACATATCATTTGATTGGTATTGGTACAGGGATGGAATATATCTACTTAACAAGCCATGACTGGATTTTTTGAGCTGTGGTTTTATGGGTGTGCCGTGAAAAGCCATTTATGAGCCACAAACTTATTATATACAAAGTCCCATGCACGTGTTAACCAACATCTCTAATTTTACCCTAAAAACAGTCACTACCATGTGTCTTCTCTTAAGCAGACACTGAACAACCAGACCAGGCATGGAATATATCAACTTTGCGAGCTGCGACTGAATTTTTCGAGCCGTGGTTTTATGGATTTGCCAGCCATGATTCCATTTCTTCAATCTGTGATTCCATTTTTTCAAGCCATGTATTCAAGCCGTGATATTACAGAAAAAATAGGACTTTTCCAGCCCTATACTGTTAAAGACAATATCTAGCAATTGTTGAGCCAATTTTTCAATTTTTGCTTGGTTCTCTTGTTCGTATGATGATTTTTCTGAAAAATTTCAAATTATTCAAATTCCCCCCCCCCCAATCCCCCTCATTTTGCAATATATAATCCAAACTAAAACAAAATAGAAAAAATTGCTCGACAATTGCTAGATCTTTTCATTACAAATTGAACAGCATATCTCTCATTGGTGTAGCTTCAGAACTCTAAGAGGAGATAGGTTTGCCATGAGAGCACTAGGAGGTTTATAGGCAGGATAGTGGATAAACCGCGTTATGTAAAGGCAAATAGAATAGCTTGAATACCAAAGGTAAGCATTATATCACTCTGAAGTCACTCAGCGATGCAGAGAACAACTGCATGACACTGATGATGACAGCATGACTGCATGAGCACCTTCCTGCATGACAGCTTCAGCCTGTGGGTGACAGCCTGACTGAAGCTGCACGGCCATTGAGTGCACATTTAAATTGATCGCAGCTAATTTCTCTCAGAGAGATTTGTCAATTAAAGGGCTCCATGCCACCTAACTCTTTCGTGATCTGTTGTGAAGGCATAAATCAATGCACAGAGATGAATTTAGTACCTTTGGATTTGTCAGAACTGCAGCTTTAAGGTGAGCCTAAAAACCTGAAAAGCCAAATTTTTTTATTTTTTGCACAAAGATGCTCCATTTAACGCTTTTGTGGGTAAGTTACATACCATATATGGTAATTAAAATGCGAGTTGAAAAAAGACCCCCCCACATCACTGGATCACCACCCACATTGCTTTGGGCAGCCTGCCAACAAGCTCAAAGCAATTACAGGTCATGTGTGAATTACGTCATGCATGACATAGCGCTCTGATGTGCTCTTGAATCCGAGTGAGCTTATTCAAAAACTAAGTACTCCAGAGACATGGCAAAAATGGCAATTGGGGCCCTCATTGTATTCTCTCTAGCAGCTCTAGTCCACAAAGAACTGTAGGTAAGTCTATGATAGTTGCTAGTATCATAGTTAAAAACTTGCTTTATTGACTGGTTATGATGCCATTTACTTGAAGCAAATACATGATGGTTAAATAACATGCAAAAAATAGTTTGATCATATATGTGCATTGTGTATATGCCCACCAATGATTAGAGATAGAAGTGACTATTTTTGGACATATGCCCGCTATATGTAATTTCTACAATGCTTGGTAAATATGTTTATTAGCCCTTAGTAGTTAGCCCTACTATGATTTAAGTCATGTTTTCCAGTCTAAGCAACCTATAGTTCACCACTTGATGCTTTTCCAGCCTTTGATTGCAGTATAAGCTCCGATCATTTCCTTTGCTACAGAACATGGAGCCATTGGGGTTACAAGCAAGATTGTCTGTGCCTGACCCGCAGAAGCAAGATTGTTTGTGCCTGACCCAGACAATAACATGTCTTTCACAACACTAATTTTTGCTGATATTTTTTCACAAGTTGGAGATATGTGTGGTATATGAATGCAAATTTTCACTCATTACATGCTGCATGTATGTGGGTGTGACTATCAGGAAACATAAGACCTGTCCCTGACTGACTTCAGGATGAAGCTGTTTTACGCTCCTCCCAAAACAAGTATCATAAAACCTTGCCCTCCTTCCACCTCCTGGACAATTTTCCTCATTACTTGAATCTCCTGACATGCAAGCATGGCAGCCTATAGATGCAAATCATTAGATCCAGCCTTGTGTGCTAAATGTGTGAGGTGCACCTGTATGCTCCTGACATAAACTACCAAGTAAAAGTTCATTTGTTTACTGTTACCAGAATAAACCTCATATAATAAGGAATTCCAAAAATGGATGGATGGTTTAATGTTAATTTTTTATAATTTTGGGCAATAATGGGCTATTTTTCTTAAGTTTCACCTAATTACTTTTTGTTTATATTAACTAAGGGAAAAAACTATGGAAATGGGTAAAATTGTCCACAAGCACTGACATTTTTGTCGCATTCTTATGTGGCTTCAGATTAATTTTCCACTTGTCATTCCATGCTTGGGTTGAAGCACTTTCTACCAGATGTGGAATATACGTATCTACTTCGTAAGCCACAACTAGAGCTTTTCTGACATTTTTGGAGCTGCAAGATTCCTGCTAACAAAAGTTCATAATAAAGCTGTGTGATTGCAATGTTACAAAAAAAATGTCCCCTAGGGGCCACCAGATTTTATTGTTAAGTAGCAAATATCCAATTTTGCCTCCAACTTGGCTACTAATTAGTAACATTATATTTAGCACATTTTCTTTGACTGATGTAAAATGGTTGTACAACTGATTTCCCAGGAGATACCGGTAATACTTGGTAGATGCTAACATATATAAAATTTATCAATTTTGTATATTTTTTTGTTCCATTAGTACCTATCAATGGTCTTAAATACTGAATAATAGTCCCCACATCTATCAAGTTATGTGTGTTTTAAAACATTTTACAATAAATTTCATTGCATTTCAGCTTATTAATTTTAGGTTTTTATTTTCGAAGGAATGATTATCTCATCAAACTGTTTATCTGTTAACCAACTAATGTTATTAGTTTACTACCTATTTGGCATGTTATGTATGAAATGGTTGTAAACAAAAAAACACTTTCTTGCTGTTACTTTGAAATTTCAAACGATGAATTTCTGCTGGTATTTTAAAAGGCCAATTCAATTGTTGACTAGTAACTTAATGTTTTACCCCACAGGCATTTCTGGAATGAATAATGTTGATACATAATTACAAGTTTTGTGTCTTATTTAAAAAATGTATAAAAGGCATCAAAGTAGTTCACTCCTGTACACAGTTTTTGAGCAATGGTACAGTTGAGATCCAAAAACTGGCAGTAATTGCTTCAGAACTCAAGCATCCTCTTCGTCTGACATTTTTTGGGACAGATTCTTTCTCTGTGAAAAGCTTACGATTATTAGAAAAAGAGGTAAGAAGTAGGTAAGTAAACAAAATTGTTTTTTCAGTGTAGAGGTTAGGTAGTTGATTCAATTAGCCATGCAAAAAAATTTGCTATGTATTATCCAATAAAATATTTAATATTATGAAAGCTCATTCTTATGTCATTATAGTTTAGTATTACTATTAACTTTTTACTTCTGATATTGCTTTTTTTTACAAAATTCATTGACATTCAATCTTATTTTTCTGTTGCAGTAAACTGATCAGTGAGCTGCATGTAATTACCACCAAGCTCAAACATGGCCCAAGTCCAGTGGAAAGTTTTAGTGTTGCAGCTGGTCTGCCAGTACATCACTGGCCTGTCTCATCTCAAAACTTGGTGGCCACAGATGTTGGTGTTGTCGTCTCTTTTGGGCATCTTATCCCTGCCGAAGTGATCAATGCCTTCACCCTGTGAGTTCTTGAACCTTAGTTTGTGCCTCATAAATTTTCTCTGAAAATTGATGCTGAATCAAATTCCAGTTGGAAGTTTAATGTAATTGTCCAAAAATGTCTTGGTAGAAACCTGTTTACTGAATTTTCTTAATTATAATTTTTCTAAGATTATTTGGTTTTAGAATGCCTTTTGAATTTTATATGCAATGTAAATACAGTAAAAATGAATCTCATATCACTTTACTGATACTCAATTGAGTGCAAATTTAGTAAAACAAATTAAGTGATAATGCATTCAATACCTTATATGATGGATAAAATGGTTTCCAATGATTTCAAAACTGAACGTACCCTTCAAACTGGACAACACTAATTTCAATAATAATTGCAGGGGCATGTTGAATGTACATGGCTCTCTGTTACCAGCATATCGAGGTGCAGCTCCCATCATTCATGCTGTGCTCAATGGAGAAACCTGCACGGGCATAACAGTAATGCGGATACACCCTAAGAGGTAATTGGAGTTTCCCTGTCTCATCAATTACTTTAATCACTTCCTTTGAATACTTTGAGTTAATTTCAGGCAATGTGTGTGCGCGGTTTGATTAGTTAATCTATAGCTATTAAATCTTGCCATTTGTCTAGCTCATGTTGCACCCACGAAAATTTTTGTACATTAACTTAAATGCTCTTGTGCAGGTTTGACGTGGGCGAAATACTGCGCACTGCAAGTGTGGAGGTGGGACGGCACACCAAGAGTCGTCAGCTGCACGAGACTCTCTCAGAATTGGGTGCTGAGCACCTCATTGAGGTGCTCAGGGACTTACCTTTCCATTTCACCAATGCAAGACCCCAGCCCACAGAAGGAGTGTCTTATGGTAAACAGCGTTTAGTCTATAAAGTCCGAGTACTATACAATAGATTTGGTTGTAACTACTAATGAGAAAAAAAATCATATCCTCTTTAGCAGGACTAGTAAAGATTTATATATTTCCTGAAAAACAATAATTGCAGTATTATCAGCCTGATGGTATCGGTTAGTACAGCCCTATTTTATTTCTCCCTCATCGTGTTGTACATTGATCTTGTCCATCTTGGTTTGGTATATTCCAACATTAAAGTTTGCATACTTTCTTTAGCTCGCAAAATAAGTGAAAAACATGCAGTCGTTTCATGGAATGAGAAATCGGCTGACGAAATTTATCGCCAATATTTGGCCCTTGACGACCACTTTCCTCTAACTGCGCTGTGGCAAGACAACCTCGTGCAGCTGAGGGAGGCAGTGCTACCTGAGGATGCCACGATCCGTGTTGATGAAGGTCTGAATTTAGTAGCCCAATCGGGCTCAAATGCACATATTTTTAGAGAAAACTTATTTCAGATGATATTTTGGTTGGGTTTTGCATCTAATCAAGGTATTAGCTAACCTTGTCTCTAATTAAGATATAATTGAAGTAAATATATCTTATGATCAGTCAGAAAGTAAGAAACGATTCATTACACTGAAAACGTATATACTTTCTGCAAATTTCATTCATGCACCTGAATCTTGTAGCCGAGACTCCCTAACAAAGTAAAGCTTTTTGCCGTCAGAATCGGTTGCAGCCCCGAGCAATGAGACAAGGAACAACAGACGGAAGTTGAGTTATCCCCCCTCCTCGACGCTCACGGAAGGTCAGATTGCCAGCGGCAAAGGCTCATCGGTGCTCTGGGTAGGCTGTGCCAATAATTCAATCATTGGCTTTAAGGCCATTAAATTAAAGGGTAAGAAAACAATGAGCCCACACGAGTTTCATAACGGATTTATGAGCAAAGTGACACGAGATAAATGGTATTTCAAATAGATCAGTTAGCGCAGTGTTGTCATTACACAATGATTTTGTAGGGGCTGTTTTAATAATATTCAAAACTAAATCTTCGAGAGAGCGTGATGCCTAGCGCCATCTGAGGTGCAAAGATCATCTTTCAACATAACGTAATTTCCTGTTTAAGTACGTAATTCGTCGCTCCTTGAATCTGCAGTACGAGCCAACAATGAAGCTCAAACTCATTGCACCTAAAAAGTTATTCTCTCTTTGGTGTGGTGAAGGCTTTTCGAAATGTTCAAGCAGATAATGGAATGATTTCGCTTACATTTATCCATTATATTCTAACATATGCATTTTCAAATTTTATTATCCGTTCTTTTAAACCTAAGTAAACGACTTTGTAAACATATTACAGAACAGGTTTTAATTCCTGGGCGGACAACGCCGATGATGCATTTTATTAGTACAATGCTTCCTTCGTTGCATCCATGTTGATCTATGGAAGAGAATACCATATCCTTTTTCCGAATTACTTAAGAAGATTACTATATTTATGCAGCGGATAGAACGTGAATCTAATTTGTTCTGCAACGAAGAAGCCCGTGCATGTATACGGACAAGAACACAGAGAATCAAATCCCTACATGGAAAATATTATAATGTAAAATATATAATATAATATAATATATAATGATTATGTAAGCAGTCTCACGTTGGTAAAACAATTGTTTCCGATCCTCAAATAAAGTTTAAACATCTGAATGAATAGCTAAATTTTCACGATTATAATGCGTAACATAAAATATCCGATAATGGGATGTAAACAGACCCTAACTAACAAGAATAAAACTCAAATTAGAAATGATTGATCAAAACTGGAAACGAATCCTGTCAGGCATGAGTCCGTTACATTATTTAATGCTCTGAAAACACAGAACTGGTCTGTAAAAACTCCCTTCAAAAGTTTATTTTCCTCTGTGGAGAAAAAGAAACCAATATCCAGATTTTGAAAATCAAATCGCGCACTTGCTGATGAATTCATCGCGAAACGTTACGTCCTTAAGACTTCTTAGGCCTGATGATTCTGACAGAAGGCATGTCGGTTAGGTCGTCAGAAGCCGGGAAGACGCATCGCAGGCCTCCGTCAGCTCCCAGCACCCGCACCTGAGTAATCGTTTTATTTGAAAACCGCAAGCTTCTTTATTGAGCTTCTTTATTACAATGTTATTATTATTATTATTATTCCACGAAGAGATTGTCGTGGCGTCTCGTTCAGATCGAACTTCGGGGGCACGTTACAAGTGGCTATTATAGCCAAATAATATAGCCAAATAAATAATAAAATAATATATATTATATTATTTTATTATATTCTTCAGTCCTGGCGGAATTATTTCTCATTGAGTGAGCAAATTAAGGAACGTAGAGACCTTTGGCAGGTGCGTTTATTGATGCATGTTGAACTGTTTAAAAACTGGACAAGTCTCTGCCACTTTGAAATGAGAATTAATTCGTTATTTATTGAGATTTTGCAATTTGTTTCCACCATGAGGCGTGCGAAAAATTTAATGATAAATTTCAACGTTTCAAACGTGATGCAATACAAGAAATGAGTCAAATGTAGAAATCATAGATTGTTACGATAAATGTTGAAAAAATAATTGTAATTCATGTCACAAGGCCCTGGTCAAAATAGATTGATATTCATTCCCATATTTGTGACACTAATATTTTCTTAAACTTTACGATGATTTTTACATTTCTTATTAATAGATACAGGTAGAGGGATTGAATCTGCTTATGCATTTAAAATTATGTACTGTTTTTGTAAAATAAATGGTTTGTAAAAGTTAAAGCGTCGTGACTTTTTTCTTGTTCATCTGAATAAATATATTCCAATTGAAAATAAACTAATATGAGACTGAGCTCTATTTTTCGAGGAAGAAAGATGTATTTCATCGTATTCATCTTGCTAGTCCATCTGAACTAAAAAGATGTAGAAATGGGCCAGCATATAGATGTAGATCAAAAGCACTCAAATTAATTTTAATATTCTTCAGAAATACTCGCTGAAATAATTTCCATGTATGGTGGCATTGACTGACCTGCTGTACAATAATGTCAGTGTCAGGATTGACATCAATGACAGCTTGCAGCAGCTCCGTCATGGTCTGCTTGCACGCATGCAGGCCTTTGTCGCTGGTCACTTCAAGAAGCATGTCCGTGGTTGCAGTGCTGATCTGAAATAAGAAGAAAATAACAGTGCTGGAGTCGTACACAATATGAAATTGCAAGTTCCACGGTTTTCAAGCTAAATTCATCAATTGCAGAAAAGAAATAGGCCGCTTCATACCCTAGAGCCAATTTTTATAGTATGACCCTTGATCTGAACAAATAAGCCAACTGCAGTGCTGATCTGAATTAATACAAAAAAATTTCCTATCTATTTAACAAGCGAGAACCACACAGAAAAAAAGGTTAATTAAATTAATCTAAACCTTTAAGCAGTAAAATTTTAGCAGGCATATTTCAATCTACTGTATAAAATTTGATTTACTTTAATTTACTTCAATTTAATTTACTTAAAATTTAATTTACTTTACAGTTTCTTGTTGTTTTCCTTTGAAAGCCAGCTGTGTCAATCAACGCAGTCAGTGTTAATTATAAGCCAAATTCATAAACATAAGTGAGCATCAAACATGAATAAAAATCAAATGGTAATAATTTATATTGATGTGAAAGTTGAAGAAAAATTTTGAGATCTAATGTACGATGATGGCCCAGTGTTGAGATCGTTGAGTAGTACTTGCCTTGGTCGCGTCACCGTTGGTGAGCGGCGGCACTGAGAGGACCGTGCCAGCAGCATCAAGGAGACACGGGAAACTGGTCCAGCCTTCTACGAGCTGCAGGTACCTGGCAAGTTTAAACATCCATAACGTTTCTGAGTTACATGAAAATCAACAAAGTTTTGCCCGCAATTAACATCAAATGAAGTTATTTTAAGAAGACTAATAGTTACGTCATAGCCTTTCACTATTTATTCGATAAGTAGGTCAGAATAAACAATGTTTAAAAAAACCTAAGCCTAATCAGTGTTTTTAAAAATGCTTGCGAGTTAGACAATGAAAATGAGCAGATACGTTTTTTGAATTTGTTACTAAAAAATTCAAAATCTTGAAATAGACAGGTCTCAGAAATTAGTTTACTTTTTGATTTAGAAGAAGCTGGAGGTCGCGTTCACCTGAATGAATCCAGAGTAGGTATTAGACCATCAATATTTAAAACTAAGGTGTCCAAAAAATCTACTATCTTTATCACAAATTTCTTGCTAAAAAATCCTACCTAGAATTTGACTCACTTGTATAGCCCGGAGATGTTGTTGGATTTTTGCATCTTCCTCTGCTTGTCAGCCTCGTCCTGCACCAGCGTCAGGAACTTGGCAGCTGTCACAGGCTTTGAGCGGCGGTTCAGAGGCACAAATTTAAGCAGGTCTTTAGCCTGGGCCGTGTATGACAATCCAGTCCGTGCTTTACTGCCTGCAAGGGTATTCATAGTTCAGACTACACCATTGAATCAAATTAATGGTTGGAATATAAAAATGTGATTCAAAACATGCATGATTCAAAATTGTAAAAGGTACCTCAAGAAGCCAAAAGAGCTGATAGCTAAAAGTGAGCTAGGAATACAATTGTACGGTAAAAATTCATTGTAAATATCAGTTCAATCTGATGACTAGCCATCATTTCTCACTAAACATGAGAAAGATAATACTTTTTAGACTCAAAATTTCAGCCAAAGTTTAAACAAACAAGTAAAAATGAGTGATGCAGGATGAGATTAAACTCAAAATATAACTCAAATGTGAACTAACCAGGAGATGCAGGAATGCTTGTTTGGATTTTGGAGAGATCATGTGTGGCAATGGTGGAGTAGAGGCGCCTCTTGCAGACTCCTTCATGGAGCTTATTCTGGTGATGAAATGAGACATGAATGACACAAAAATATCAAATTTAATAACAGATTAATACTTTCATATTATCTCTATGTACAATATACAACATGTCATGATATAATCAATATATAATATTTCATATGATCAATGCATATCAGACTCACTTGTAGCACAATAAACTTCTTGAATTTATCATCCAGCAGAGAAATGTTTCTGACCACACAACAGACAAGGTGAGGTCGTAAAGCCAAAACTTCCGTGGTCACACACACCAAGAGATCATCAGAGGGATACTCTATGGTGAGCGAGGGTTGAGAAAATACAATACCTTCATCGTCACTGGACCCATCACCTTTGCTCAAATCCTCCTGAAATATTTTAGTTTCATTGAAGAAGCAATTATGGTTTGACACTATGAAATAAGATCAGAAAGACAACTAGCCCAAAAAGAACAGAAAATTTAATCAAATGGATCAAGAAATCAGAAAACACATTGTCACAATTGAATTCTTTAACACAAAAAAGTTGAATTATAGGAAGTTAAGCCTCTATTTTAACACGTTTTTCTTAACTTAGCTTCGCGTTTGTTTGTTTGTTGTTAACATTGACAACGAAAATTAGCCCACTAGAGATCTGAAATTCGGCATGCAGGCTATTTTCGCCTAACAATTTCAGATACAATCATAAAAACTGGCAATTAGAGACCTAAATTAGCTTAATTGAGTAAAGTATATATATACTATATATAAAGTAGGTATGACGTGCGGGCGCTGACATTATAGACGAGCAGGCGCTGACGCTGCGTATCATCGATATGTACGTCAAGTCAAGTAAATTGCCTTGCAACAACGTTTATCATGTGTAGCAACAGACTACAAAGGAGAAAATAAAATACTTAAAAAAACTTTTTTAAAAACCACGTTTTTCTTGTGGACTAAAGAGTAGAAAATAATTTATGGCTCGCCCCAAAAAACGTGGGTCGGGCTGTACATTCACTATCAAATTTCCAAAATTCGTGTGTTGTGTGCTTTTTGCTTTAATCATAAATCTGCCTGACACACGTTTTTTGGGGCGAGGCATAAATTATTTTCTACTTTTTAGTCCACAAGAAAAACGTGGTTTTTAAAAAGTTTTTTTTAAATTATATTATGGTACTAACCTCATCATTGCCATTCTTTACAGTTGATTTATTTTGCTTAACCTCAACCAAGGGAAAATGCTGCCGAACAAATTTCAGGACTTGTTCTGGAGATGTGCGAGGAGCATCCACCAACTTCCTGAACCTCCTGTCTCGCAGTTCATTGCCACTCAACTTCAATACTGTAAATATAAAACTTTTATTTTTGGACAAAAGGTGCAGGCAAAGGTGTTTCCATAACAGAAATAATAAAACCGCATGAAAATCAATAATAGAAATATTGACTCAATGATATTATAAATATTTTATAGCAAGCTTTTCCAGATAGTACTGGAAATAAAAATCAGTCATTCTTTTTTGCATTCCCAGAAAAATAAATATGAAAATAATCATGATCCTTTATATGTATGGTTTGTATGCAAATACTGTAAGAGAGTTAGACAGTTAGAAACTTTGATTGTGATAAAATGTTGAACCCAACTTGATACCATGTGCAGAATTATTGTCAAAATCGACAAACTAATTTTGTTAAATACAAAAACTTTTTGGTATCATACAATGCAGACAAATGAACATGTATATACTATGCTAACATTCAGAATTGGAAACACTCATACACTCACTTTTTAGCTTTGGGCAATTGAGAACATTCCCATGAAGTTCCTTAATTTCATTATTTTCCAGGTTGAGAATTTTGATTAGAGGAAGTGAGCCAATATTGAGAGGAACAGACTCAATCTTGTTATTGGATAAGTCAACTTCAGCCAGGAGCTCCAGAGAACCTTCTTTAATTATGAAGAATTCTTTAAGGTGATTTTGACTTGCATTCATCAATGCCAAAGCCTTGCACCCACTCAGGTCAGGCAGAGAGGTGAGCTCATTGCAGTTTACATTCAAGGTTGTCAGATGCTCCAGTGTCCCAACTTCTTCAGGCAGCTGTGACAATTTATTATTTGAAGCATCCAAGAGCATGAGTTTTGTCAGGCAACCAATTTCTTTAGGCAGACTCTCCAGTTTATTTGATGAACAGACAAGACTTGTGAGATTTTTTAGCTGTCCTAAAGCAGCAGGGAATTTTGTCAGCTGGGACTTGTTTATACGCAGCAAGTTCAGTTGGGTCAATGAAAATAGCCCACTAGATTCATCAGCAATCTCATTTTCCCGGTTCTGGATTTCGACATTTGAGAGCGACAATTCCCTGCGCCCTTTGCACTTTATTTGCTCAAATATATCCCACATAACTATTTACTAAGCTTATCTATCTGTACTATCACTAAATCAGCAGTTTTTTTTTATTACTCTGATTAGAGGTGAAAGAATCTGTCAGAACATTTACATTTATGATAAAGAACTGCACTGAAATAAAGTTTATTTCAGTGCAGTTCAACATGTTAGAAAAAAGGCTAACTGGTAATTTTGAAATTCATGGTATTAAAAAGGAAACAACATATTTCTTGGGAAGTTGGGGTAGATAGTTCCACCAGAGTTGCCTCAAGGATCAATCAATATCATATTCATGCCAATACAAGCAAGAAGAAGCTGTTATTCCTATATTAAATTATACATTTTATTCATGTAAAAAAATTTATTTAGGAGTCATTTCCTGATTTTTTGATACATTCATCATCACAGTATACCTATGATCTTTATCAAATCAAACTTTTCATCAAATCAAACAAATAATAAACTTTTCCATTCAATATTTCACTATTTGATTTGTATGTTTCACTAGCCCAGCCTTCAAGCATTGTATTCTTGGGCTAGATACTTCTTGCACTTATAGTCTGTAGAATGTTGTCATCTCAAATCCTAACATTCCTATTATCTCTAATCCAGGATGCAGTTTGCAAGCAGCATTGCCAAGATATGGATTTTTAGACCAAAGCATTGCCAGCCATTTTCAAGATGCATTACAGGGTAATTTTCAATAAGAAAATGCTGAAAGCAACTTTGATAGTATATCCCTTACTCTCTACACACTGCAACACTTGCATGTTACACTCATTGCAACTGATTTCCGGACTGTCTGGGCTCTGGTCCAGATCCAGCGTACTGGAAACCATACTGTGTACGCTTACGGTCTTTCAGACTTCAAACTATTTTTTAAATAGTTGACTGAAGACGTGAATACCGTCTAACGGGGTAAAAAGGGATGGTTTTAAGCATTTTTTGCTAATAACTTCTTACCATGAAACATTTCAGAAACATGTTTAGGCTCATTTTATAGCTCTCTGTGAGGGTTATTGAATGGCATCTTAAAAAAAACTCCATATGCTAATTGTAAGCTGCTAGACGCAATATAAAAGGCTCCTGAATTAATCTGAAAATGGGGTAAAAAGGGACACTTGAAATAAAACTCAATTTTAAATATTTGAAGCATGCAGAGTGTACTCATCTATTACTAACAGTACTCTGAACGTCTGAAGTCCTCCTCTTCCTTTGTAGATGATGTAAATGTAGCATAAATGAAATTTTCTGTGATTTTTACTTGGTTTTTCTTCATTGATATATTACCTTATCCATACATTACCGTACTATTGATGTTATATTTCTGTATACATGGACATGCCATTGAGCATTGACAACAACCTTGTCCACTGCAAGCTTCATATCAGCAGCCACATAGCATTTCTTCTGTATCTGTAAGCTTACAGGATGGTTTTTAATTTTGCACAATTTTAATCGAGTCTAGTGATTTCACTACAACAAAAAAGATTGTGAAAAATATACCTGGAACAGAACATAATGTTTTAGTGACAACCATCATATGTTTTGAAGAAATAAATCATAGTTTAGGTCAATTAGTGAATTACTTTTCATTCTATGATGCCCGGTGCACAATTCTATATATAGCATTCTATGTACAATTTTGTGATGACCGATGATGCAAGTGAATTTTTTTTGCCAAGCAAGGTAAATGTAATCAAAATTCTTTTTTGTTAATAAATTTATTTTTGTTAACTGGAGCCTTTGCTAACTGAGGTTCTACTGTAAATGCATTTTTAAAAGGGTGTCCCTAATTACCCCGGGGGGTGTCCCTTTTTACCCCACCACTTGGAAATGGCTGCCATTTTTTTTTTTGGAATGAGATAGGCAAAATCTGTCAATTACGTTTTCAAGCCGACACCTGAGTGCAACTTTTATGTAAGTAAACGTTTTAATACGGCAAATATTTTTATTGCTACAGACCTTAGCAGAGGTACTTTTCCAAAATCGCACCTATCACACTTTTTTTCAGTGATTTTTTAGAGATAGTAAATGTTTGATTTCTTGACTAGCTTTATACATAATAGGTAGTAAAAATGTTGAAGTTTATGCCACTATTTTAGTTTTGCAATATTTTGATTAGTTTAGCTGCTACAACATTTCAACAAAATGTGGGACTTGCATCCCTATTTACCCCACCCATCTCTTTTCACCCCGTTTGACAATTGACGGTATCTAAAATGCAATAATTTCAATCCAAATGTGTCAGCAAGATCTTCTGAAGGCGTAAATGTTGCTGCTGATGTTGGTATTGTTGCCAAAAATCTTGAAATATTCACCCACTTTCTGCACCCTGGTGAGTGGTGACTCTAATCCTGTTAATAATGATAATGCCAATTTTGTATGGATGTACGACAATCAAAATCTTGTTTATCAACCTATTCACTACAACATTTTACATGGAACTGGAACATAGAACCCTCATTTGATTTTCATTGTATAAGATATAGTCAAATGGGGTAAGACGGGATCGCAGCCTTCATGGGGTAAGAAAGGACCAGCCCATGGCGTGCATTCTAATTGCACTGAATTTAATTTGACAAAAGAAAATGTTAGAGCAATCATTGCCTGTCATTTCAGTGTTTGTTTCAACCCTCTTCTGCAAATAATGAGTTTCTGGCTAATTTTTAAAGAAAACCTATGTAAAGAAGGGTCACAAAATAGTTAAACCTGCTTGGGAAATAAGCTCTGTCTAATAACAAAAAATTTTTTGGCCAGGTTTGTGAATGTAGGCAGGTAACCTCAAGTAATAAGCAACTTTTGAGACATACTAGACATTCCTACCTGCTACCATCACTGCCTGACATGTATTCTAAAATGGGGTAAAAAAGGACCGGACATGGGGTAAGACAGGACCACTAAATGATCCTGTTTTACCCCACAAGTGGTCCTATCTTACCCCACAAATGGTCCTGTCTTACCCCACAAATGGTCCTCAATTACCCTACAGTTTATCAAAAATAGTTTTTAAATGAATATATTATTGTGCAGTCAGTAGTCAGTACATGGAGTATTTTGGTCAAAATTTTTATCTTTGGCTCAAACTTCAACTTGTTAGCTCTTTTAATTAGAGAAACTTAGTGCACTATTTTAAATTGCATCAAAGGGATGGAGAAAATATGGATGTCACTTCCCATTATTGACCTGCAGAACTATGTGCAAGATTGGCTGGGGGAAAAATCATTGTGTGAAACATGAAAAATAATTATGATCACAACTCTGTGAGAAGGCATGAGCTATGTTTGAAGAAGTGCACCACAAATGCAGTTATCAAGAAAACTCATGATGTCTGACACTTAAGTTATTATCCATTGGTTTTATTACCAATGTGAAAAATTTTTCAGACAATGACACTAGGTAATGGAATATACAGGACGCATTTAGCAGTGCTCTACAATGAACCAAAGCCAACCCACCTTTATTATGCTTAACAAAGTTTTCTCGTGACAAAAACTCCAATGTGACTGATATTATAGTTGACTTCCCACAACACAAAACAGTAACAAGTGGTTGTTTAATCAAATAATGTGTTTCTAGATGGATAATATTGAATATCAGATTTGTACTTATGATAGGTTTAGGATTTTTTAATTATTCATGGTATAGATGCTACGGGCTTGTTAGTGATTTCGGTCCTGTCTTACCCCATCTGACTATATATATATATATATATACTTTTTTGCATCTTTCAACCTAAATTTATATATACAAATTAAAAAAAAACTGATTTTTCTTCAATCCTAATTCCTAAATCCCAAGAATCCCAAGAATCCCAATTCCCAACACTCCAACAAGATTAAAAAATTCATACTTTCAAGTTGAAACTGGAATATTACAGTTCCCAAGTGATATTTTATCAATAAATTTATAAACTTGTTGTTTGATGGTGCATTTTAGTTGACAAAATTAGGAGATAGGTAGGTAGGTAGCCTTACCTAGCTCACTTATTTTATTGGAAAATTTTCGCGCTGCAAAAATGAGAGGAATGCAGTCAAAGCACTATGTTCTACGTACTTAATGATCATTAAGTACCTACACTATTTCTATGGTTGCATGATGCGTCTCCAATAATGCAATAGTACCACATACCAGTGTTGTGGGAAGCCTATTTCACTGATACTGCAACTCTGCAAGGAAGTAGTATTTTCCTACTAGTGGTCCTGCAAAACCCTCTCTTGAGATGCAATGTAATGTGAAATCATAGTATGAAATTAAAGCAAAAGTATGTATCAATTTCAGTGTTGACATCATAGTAGAGTATAAGTAGACTGCTCACTATTTGATATGCATCACTAACTTAGCATGTTAAAGTTAATGTAACAGATATTTTTATGGATTTAGTGCACTCCTTAGGTTTATAATGTTAGGGTAAACGCGGTATATTCTGTCACATTAAGGACGCATCGAGAAATGAAAAACTATAAAAAAATAACCGCATGCGTTACTCAAGTTCTGTTTGCTTTATGTGACTCTCAAAACACCGCACTACGCGTCACGGCATCAGCAACAACAAAACGTCACAAAATGTTGCCATATTTATTTAAAAGCCTTTAGAATGCAAACCTACCAAATCCCTATATTTTGTCACTGTGTGTGGCTATATTTGGAACGTGATGAGGCGTATTCCGTCCGCGCTTCAAATTCTACTGATACGTAATGCCGTCATCCATGTGTTCGAATTCCGTTTGCTGTGTGAGCTGTATTGGAATACAACCCAGCTTTGAATTAGAACACTAATGAATATTGAACACTACTTAATTATGCTTCTAATTAACAACTATTAAGCTTTCAATTAAGCAAATTTTAATTTTTGTACACAGCTTGGAACGATCTGTGTGTGTCCAATTCAAGTTGTGACGGAATTAGTTTTCATGTGTCTAAATTCATTTCTCAACTTAATCATCTATTAATTTATTTACCACTTATTTTCAGACTGGGTAATGCAGGCAAACTTGAAAATACCATTATATGAGGTTATACTATAATAGACCCCTGTGCCTCGGTTTTGCGCTTGTTCTCTTCTGATCAATGTTCATACCTGGTTCTTGTTGTGTTGTTCAATAAATTGTTAAATAAACACAAGGAAAAGTCTAATAAAAAGGTGGATTGGGATGATTGTAACTTGTAGGGGAGGTGGAGACCATCACCAATTCCTTGTTTTCTTGACAAGTTGACACCCTTGCAACAATCACCCTCAGGCCCAAAACGTGGCTGGTAGAGTGGTAGCACAATAAATAGAGTCCTACAACACCAGAGTAAACTCGCAGTCTCGAACTAAGAATTAATTTTCAGGTCCATCGGACCATCAGACCAGCACTAGGAACGTCGCGGATTCTCTCCCAGACTCCCACTGCCAGCCCTGATACAAACACGTTACAGTTTACACGTATACACATTGACAGTACCGCACAATATGTCCTTCCTCTACAGCAATCACGATAGGATTGATTTCTCACGATAACGATTTCTCTATGACTATGAGTACCACATAACATTTATTTTTTTATACAACGATTTTTTACAGTCTCTTGCGACTAGGAATAGGAGGCACATTCTGTAAAATGAGCTGCCAACTCGCGACAAATGATAAGTTCAATTGAAATTATATTTTCCGCAGTTTTTTATCAATATTAGGTTTCTAAAAGGCTTGAAGCGATAAATATATAGCTAAATTTCAAGCTTTTATTGCAAAAATCCTATTCTAAAAAGATTATACTGTATAGTTTTCAGGTGCATAATTTCTTTTTTGGTCCTGTAACTCACCGATGCTAATAACATTTCGGTCGAGCATTAACTGTGACCCTGGGTTACGCGTAGCCCTGGGGAGAGAGTCAGCTGCGTTCATCGAGTACCTAAACATCTCTAGCGTCTATTGCATTTGATTCCGTAAAGTTAGGTAATCGGTAAACAATCACTTATTACTTAGCCATCAACACTGCCATGTCCAGATGTGACAGTTGGCCCGCAGGAGGTCATCTACACATCTCAAACAAAGCTAACAACAACACTTATTACTTGATCTTGGACTACTATATATACCACGAGTATATTTAGTGAAGGGTCCTACCAGCGTCAAGAACCCGGCTGGCTTTCTCTCCCCTGTCCCCTGACTCCCCTCCCCCTCCTCTTCTCTTTATGAGAAGAGGCAGTAGGCCTAGCCAGTAGGTACCTACCTAGGACTAGGACGTAGGAGTAGGTTTGTGAGGCTGTGAGCCAACCAAGGTTAGGTACCTAGCCTAGTTAAAATTCTTGCATTGTATTTCAACATTATTATCATTTTCTGATTAAGGCTGAATTATTCTATTGAAACCTTGACTACATCATTATTATCATTGCGTAACTTGTCATCTGTACATATTATTATAATTATTATTTGTTCATCATTATTAATATTTTGTCATCTTTTAGAATTTAGAATCAAACATATAGGCATAATGAAAATGTGTAAAGTTTATTTTTTATGTCTCAAATATCAAAACCAATTAGATAGGTAGGTAGAATTCCTGTATAGTTTTGTAGTTTGAATATAACCTACCTAACCATTGCTTTTGTTAAATTGTTATCAATATCAAAACTTGTTTGGCTCTGTTAGGGTAAACGCAGTATATTCTGACACTTTAAGGGCATAGCAAAAAATGAATGGCTATAAAAATACACCGTACGCGCAACTCGTACTCGAGTTCTGTTTGCTTTACGTCACTCAAAAGTCAAAACACCGCACTACGCGCCAGTGCCACTGTGCCAGCAACAATGAAATGTCACAAAATGTTGCCATATTTATTTAAAAGCCTTTAGACTGCAAACCTACCAAATCCATATATTCCAACACTGTGTGTGACTAAATTTGGCATTTTGTGAGACTAATTCCAGCCGCGCTTCAAACTCTACTAATTCGTAATGCCGACACTCTTGTGTTCGAATTCCGATCGCTGTGTAAGCTGTATTGGAATATGACACAGCTTGACTTGACTTGAGAACACCAGTGAACTGAATGAGACATTGAAAAGGGTAACTGAGCTGGGACTGGGAGCATCGAGCATCCTCATCATGGGGTACTTCAACTTTCCGGAAATAAACTGGGTAACTGAAAGGTGCGAGGCTTCTGTGAACATGATGAGGATGCTCGTATCCCAAAATTAATTTCCATGTATCCCAAAATTACTGGAACATTTTGTTTGCAATTGCCTGAATTTCCAGTTGGAAACAACTGGGGATTTTAGTACCACACAATGTGGTTTCAGAAGGCATCTTTGCACACTTGACCAGGTTGCTAGACTTGATAAATGTATATAAAATTGAGAAATTTAAAGCTCTGAGGTGAATTTGCTCAGTATACCATGGAAAATTTAGTAGCCAAATTAGTTACCTACTGATCACCCCTAATGACTACAATCTGTACTGCAGAAGATATGTATGACTTTTTTAAGTGCACCCTATATTTAAACAATGTGCTAACAAATATTATATTATTACAGTATGAATTAGTGAAAGTTTTCAGAAGAACTATGAATAGCTTCCAAGTCATTCTGTAGTAATTGGTACCAAGATCAGTATAGTGGCCAAGACATCTCATATTCAAAATGAAGAACATTTGTTATTTATCTGTAATTCTTCTTGCTGCTTCAATAAAATTATCTGAGGTGAGTATTTAAGATTCAAATGTTAATTTCTGTTATTCAGGCATATATATACATTGTTTTGTGTTTTGAGTTTATTTTATATATATGTTTATAATAGAAGTCAGAATTATGAAGCAAAATTTTCTCTACCATCAAAAGATTTGCAGAAAGCTAGATTGCTTTGGTTACAATAGCTGAAATTGTATACATGGCTTGTGAACATAATTTAGAGGGGGTAATAAATGAAATGGTACACATTTCTTATTGCAAGACCCATAACTTCACTTTCCCCTTTTAACTTAACTGATGTTTTTGCATTATACTAGTGAAAGTGAGCCAGTTTGGTTGATCTTGAACATATGAAGTTCTATCCTGCAAATGCGTGGTTGAAGAGTATCCTGCAACAGAATAAATTTTTCAGACTGGATCCATAAAATCAATCTAAATAGCAAATTTCAGATGTAAGCAAAGATGATGCTAAGGTGCATCCAGACTTGAGGGCTTCTTTATATTTATACTAATTTTACTCATAAATAACATATTTTGTAGTATTACTTTTCAATTTTGTGAATCAAAAGTTATTTTTTGATTCATTTTTTTGACTCAAAAACCTGTCAGCACATTAAAATATAAAATTTTAAATTTAATATTCATGTGTCAATAATAAAATGAAGAATACTTTAGTGCCTATGAATATATTTTCCAGATAAGAAGTCCAGACTATAAAATTTCCTTTTTTAATGTAGGTAGTCACATGTCAACTACAACATTGATCTGACATTTCCTGAGTCTGAATTTTTTAGGTAAAAATGCCCTCTATATTTTCATGATGAAAATTAGGCAAGGGTTGCAGGCAAGGCATTGTTGAAATTGTTCATTGGCATGATTTGTCTTGTATCATTCATGGAAGGCTTCTGTGGCAGTTCTGCCTGATGTTCCACATGTGGCACATTTTCACTCAAGATCAGCATCAAAATTCAAAGAAAAATATTTTTTGGCCAAATTTAAGTTTTTATAATGGTTCTGATCCTAGATTTACTTTGAATTTTTATGAATTCATTCATAGTAAACTTGTTTTCTGACTTTGGAGGTATTGAGGAATCATTTTGCATGGAAAATTATCTTATTTATTGATACATTCTTCCCAGTTCAGTCTAGGATTAAATATATAAAGACTCAATCTCCCTGTGAAACTGGAAAGTGTTGTAGCATTTTGAATAACTTTCTTAATAAATACAGTTGAATAGCATCCACAATTAAGATGATTGCCTCAATAATTATGCTTATTTCCTCAATAACTTATGTAACCGCCACATAAAGTGAATCTTAACCTGAACTACCATATAGTTGATGTAGTGATTCTATTCATCACCCTGCAAATGATATCTTTTGTGATATCATTTGCAAGTAGATGAATTGTTTGCTCTGCATAAAGAATAATTTATAAGAGAGGTTGGTAGTTGAAATAGTTTCATTTGTAAATGTCATTACATTGATTTGATGTTTTAAAACTCATAAATGGCATGTATGTTAATGAATTTCTTCCTTATCATCAAAATAACACTTTAATTGTGCAGGCTCAGTATGATGACAAGCGGTGTATCTGCGTCTGCCCTGAACCCTCTGTTGTGAATGGCACTAAAAGCAACCGCATGATATACAAGATGCCAGTGGCACCCAGCAAATGGTGAGCCATTGTCTTATGTTGCTGAATTATTGAGAAAATATAGTGAGGCTAAGGAGTAAGAGCTGATTTGGTTAGTAAAATCAACCTGATTGATTTTAGAAAACTGTCATCAACTAGAATACTTAGCAAAATGTGTGTGTAAAATTTACAAGTTTTTTTATCCCCCCTGAGTGAAATATTAATTACCAGATGTGTATTTGCTCTGGATAGATGGCAAAAATCGACTGAAGCTGTATACATGGAGTTGTTCTAGTAGGCACCATAATGGATCAATTTGAAAAAAAATTAACTGTGGGTTGGTAATGATTGCTTTTTCAACATTATCAAATCTTATTTTATCGAGGCTTTTTATACAATATTCCAACAGTGACTGTGACAATGTGGTGCTACCAAACTTGCATGAGGACATCAAGGGCCGCGAGAAGGAGTTCTGTCCTCGGTGTGAGTGCAAGTATGAAAGCCGCAACACCACAACCATCAAGGTTTGTCTGCAGTGTTGTTAATTATTATTATAACAATACAGTATATTTGCTCAGACAAGCAATATGTACGTTTGCTCTCTTTATTCATGCTGTGCTATCCACCTGGCAAAATTTCAGCTTATTAACAGTACCTATTTGCACTTGAGCAGCACCTTAAAAACTTATTTGACAAATCTGTAGTAAATAAATTGATTTTTATCAGACAAGTATCATTCTTTCACCATGTGCTGATTGTAAGTATGGCTGTGGCAGGTGGTTGTGATATTGGTGACGTGGGTCATCTCTCTGCTGGTGGTCTACATGGGCTTTTTGTTGTGTCTTGACCCGCTGCTGAACAAGAGGCGAGGTCTCCATGCTGCTCACGCAAAATATCAGCACCAAACTAATGAGGAGGAACTACCGACTGAAGCAGGTACACTATTTTGTCTACGATATCTTTGAGTTTACATATTTACACTTGTTATGACGTGGTATTACCGCGCCTTTATTGTTCACTCTGCTGATAGTATTTTAGGTCAATGGCTTCATAATTAATACAATTAATAATTGCGCCCAGAAGCCAGCACGGCAGGACCTCCTCACCCACTACGAGTGCGCCCTCACAACGTGTTGGGGCGCGTTGGCCACCAGCAGGACAAGTGGAAGCGTCAGGTGCAGGAGCAGCGACGCAATATCTACGACCGACACAACATGCTCAACTGAACTCTGCACTCCTGACTCATGCTTTCCTTGCTTCGACGCTAAAAGTTAGCGCAGCTCAAGGTAGTGCTCGCTCTATGTGCCAGCATGTTGCAGTTCCGCAGTTCTTTTGCGAGCTTGTGAAAGTATTTAGCAATTAATCATCTATTACTCACTTAATTAGTATGAAATGAAACCAATTTTAGTTTAGATATCCGTACAATTAGGAAACTTTCTTAAACAGATGAAGAAAGTATAAATTTACAACTATTCAACCAGTATATTTATTGAAATTTTAACATACTCTCTCGCCAGTCATCTGTCGTTAAAATAGTTTATTCAAGATCGTTTCAAGCGAACCCAACTAATCAACGTTGTTCACGCGCCATTTTGCCTGGAGGGCTAAGAGTTTCAATGGTGCAGCCTTCTAATGCCGCATAATAACGTAAACAAGACTTGTTTATGAAGGTGCGATGAAATTACACGATGAATAAAGCGAGCTCCCCTCGTGAGACTAATTTACTGGAAGATATTTCGTTGTTGTTCAAGGTTCCTCTGTAATGGAAGCCTCGGAGAACGTTAAGGAAAGTCAGTATCAAATAAAAGTAATCACGATTTAAATTCCTGATGAGATTTCCATTACATATGCCTTGTTTCCAAATTATTTTTTCACTCAAGTTCCCTTCTTTTAACAAACGATGAAAGATTATTGTAGTACTTACTAGGTACCTTTTGTCATAATTATAATACTAACCCTCTGTTGGTGTAGGTGTAGGGCTTATTCCCTCGATGTCAGGGACCAGGAGACTACTTAACTCAGTTCAATTGATATAACGATTTCTTACAAGCTCATCGTGCATTTGGGTTTCACGCATTCCACAATCGTGTAAAACACTTTATAATGTTTTTGCGTCGATGGTAGATTCTGCTGTGCGCAAATGAGTAATCAGTTCATTAATGCCACATTCAGCTAATTATACTTTTGGGCTGAATGAATAGGCATCGAATTAGATCGATTAGATTAACGCTTTCATTCATGGTATTTAGTAATGGGTATACTGAAGGCTAGATGAATTAGCTTTTTCTTCTACTTTATAACTTTTATTGCCACATATAAATCTTACATTGTTTGAAAATATTGATTGAGCTCCTGCGTTTGAAATATGACATCTACATTTTTTGGGCGCGGATGTGATATTGATTTATATCGTTTAGCACCAATTATTTCTGGACATTCTGGCATCAAATAACTTGTGGCTTTCGAAGAATATTATACTCCACATTCTCTGATTTCAAGGACGACTTTCATGTAGTGATACATCTATTTCGACGAATTTTCTGGCTGAAAAATTTGTTTCAGAAGTATTTAAAGTAGAAATACTGATTTCAAAGATGTCAGTAGCTCTATTTTCAGCCTAATCTTCATCTGCAATAAGACGCCAAAAACTGTCTGCCCCATTCACTCATCTCTCGACATGTTAAATGGTTCAACTATATATTTATGTTCAATATCTATCTTATTGTTATATTACCGTTGTATTAACTCTTTCCTTTATTTATTAAGACTAAGAAGACTTTCATATTAGTTCATATATTTAACGTTCTGCATATTGATAGAACGTTCTCGTTTGTTTTGCTGTGTTATTGAGTACTTTATTTGTGTTGAAACTAGGGTACCGGCAACTGGAAGTTCATATTCATGAAGAATTCTTAGAAGTGATGGATAAATTCGGTTTCCTGCCATTTGAATCTATTGAATATTTATTATTATTAGTTAGCGAACGATAGATTTTGAAACGTGATATGGGATGGGTTGATTTTGTTGTGCGCGAGGCACGTTTAAATTTATGAGCATCCCGTATTCCAAACTCGTTGAAATAACACGACGTAGCTGGCATGTTTTGTTCTAAATTGCAAAGAATTTATGTTAGCGGATTTAGTAATGTTAAGTTGGAAAACGGTAAAAAAAGTTGAACAACAAACTAATGAAGAATTTAGGCAACCTTGCTGTTTGAATAACTAATATTTTTACTTTCCGTGAATGAAAAATGTTACGCCTGTTCAGTCATCGAATGAAAAAGTTTGGCAATGTCGGCATATCTATAGTAGTTCGATTGCTCCCTTGTACAATAAATAGGTACGACCAGTCAGCGTGAGAAACTAGGAGCGCTATTCTAAATTAAAGGTCATTATTTCAAAGTTGAATAGTTGAGAAATTAAGTCGTGAAAATGCTCATGTGAATCTGAATCGTCATCAATGGGTGCCGATTCTTGTGAACTCGGTGTTGTTGATGTTTGGATCAGGCTCAATGTTTCATTTATAACTTTCCGAGTTTCGCATTTTCAGGGTTATTTTATTTTTGCACGTTTTCTATTTGTGTTATTTTTATTCCTTTTCCCTCTCCCCGGATTGAAGTTGATGTATGAATACCTGTAACCATTATTTAAGTTAACCTTCAACAATATTGACGGGCTCTATCCATTTATGCGAAATTACCTCTGCGTGCGAATTATTATTTGCATTGATTTTCAACACTAATATAATACTTCATCACAATGAGCTCGTTTTATTTTCTTTATAAATAGTTTAGAAGTGACGGCCAGCTTAACAAGTACATGAAAAGTTGATCTTAGAAATATTATCCGTGGTGAATTAATAAAAACTTTCTGGTACTTTAAGAATGAAAGTTATAACCGAACACAGAAGTCAATACGTATCGTAAAAAGCTTCATATATATAAACTGCCATGGATAAACTAATAATATGCAAAACTAATTCAGGCATTTACACAGTTGTTACCGCGCAACAACCAGGTACTTTCAGCCTATAGATAACTCGGTATTGCACTAGTACCACACGTATAGGTACGTGCTTGCAACTTAAAAATAACTAGGTCTTTGTGGTCCGTTAAAAATAAGGTCCTTGTAACCAAAACATAATTACGTACTTGTCATTCTTGCTACGGTAGGTCCTTTCAACCCAAACATAAGAACGTACTTTTATTCCATAAAAAAGTAGGTATTTACAACCCAAACATAACAACGAACTTCTAATCTGCCCAAAAGTGCGTATTAGTAACCCAGACATAACAACGAACTTCTAATTGACCCAAAAGTAAGTATTTGTAAAAAAAGGCATAACGTTGTCCTAGTCGCCGTTACTCCAGCAGGTAAAGTCTCCTCAGGTGCGGCCGCTCCTCTCGGCGTTGCCGTCATCGAGCAGGTAGGCGGGCTTGTAGGTGGGGGCCCCGAGCCTGTCGGTGGTGAGCAGCTGAGGATTCTGGGTGGTGTTGCTGGCGTTGCCCAGGGAGGTATACCTGCAGCATAGTCGTCGGGTTCAGCACACGAGATTATTTATGGATGATTTCGAAACTTCAGCACGGGAAACATTATTACACATAGGGTTTCATTGTGAAACTTAAACACACAATATTATTACAGATATGATTCAATTGTAAGTCCTCACGGAGATAATAAAATCGAGCCAAGCACGGAGAGAGTATACATTATTACAATGAATACTGGGTAGACACAAGTAGAGCAATAATCATTTCTTCATTCATTGTTAAGCATCGAGTCTTATTTAGCGCTTGAAAACGAGGCTAATGCCATTTCTGTTAATTTTCAAATATGTGTTGATTGGATCACATGTCACAAACAATCAAAATTCAAAAATTGCTTCAGGTACCGTTTGATTAATTATAGTAAATATATTTCAATCGTCCAAATAATAATCACACTCGTCAGAATATGCAACCATTGAACTTCTAACATTCTAGTTTCTCGAATAGCCGTGCAGGTAACAATCTAGTTTTTCAAGTCCTTTACAATGCACTGCCGTATGCACTTAGTTAGCTACCCGCGATCGTAGAGCGTGCAGTAAGGCAGGAACAGTCCTCTGATGAAGTCCCAGACAGTTTTGTAGTCCCATGGAAGTATGGGATGAACCCGCATGAAATGTGGCCAGTCACTGTCCGTGCGCTGGAAAGCGCTCAGGGAATCTGGAAAAAATGAAGAGAAACATTCTGAAAATTAAATAAGTAGAAATACTGAAAATGAAATAAGTAGAAATAAAAGTGGAGAATGAATGGTAGGTGCTACACACACATGTAATGCAACATCTACATGGCTCAGATAATGGCTGTTGGATGAGATGAATGTAATTTTGTCACGTTCTTGGTGCTCTGGCCACCAACTGCGAAATGTATATCGGATCTTTGAAGATGAATTAAATTAAAATAGAGGAAATGGCGGCGTATCTAAGAATTTTTTAGATTAATAGTGGTAAAAATTAATAAATGATGCCAACAAGGTTTTGAAAAATAGATAAATACAAGTTACAAAATTTAGTGGTTTAATTCGCATGAATTTATTTATTCAACTAGAATAATGCCACTAAGAAGCCAGAAACATCTCTAACGTGTTGGTAGAAATTTCTACCCCCAAATTTCAATGAGTAGCTTTGAACGGTGTCTCGTCGGTGTCACTTATATAATGTTAATAAGACAATTCACACAGAATGAGGCACCTGAGTAAGGGTCGGAGTGCCGAGTGCCCATGATGACGGCCTTAATGTTGGGCTGCTGCCGCTGCAGTTGGTGCAGGGCGTTCTTCAGGGGACCTTCCAGGATGGTGCAGTTCAATGCATATCTGCCCACAATCATGGGTTGACTTAACTAAAGCAGGAAAAATTACATTTGATTTCATTTCATGAAGTTTGTAGGTTATAACGTTAAATTAGAAACACCAAGCAGCTTTCAAGATTATATAATGAAAAAAAGAGGATGAATTGGTGAAAACCACAAATCTCAATGCAATTATAACTAAACATTTTATTTTTAAACTTCTAACTTATATCAAACTTATGCAATTATATCTAAACTCAAGGGGAAGAGAAGGCAATTCCAAGAATGGAATGAGGTCGACGTTAATATTTCAGAAATACACGTGAAGCATGATTACATGAAAAGTTACTCAATCCAGTTAGAGCACCTGTTAATAGTCTCGTCTACGAATTTTGTAATTTGAGGGAAGGAATTTTGCTCTTTGATGTAAACAGCCTGGATTGTGGGCAGAGTTGCGGCGTCAGCGCTGCAGAGACGCTGGTTGAGCGCCAGGTAGTAGAGATGAAGCACCGCAAGACAATCTTTGCCGCCGTTGAAACAAACGCTTATTTCTTCAGGCCTGGAAAATATACATTGTAAGTTCATTCTTATCAACCTAATAACAAGATTATTATCCAGGTACACATTTACAATACTTCTATATATATAAGGCAAATTTCTCAAGGGGGAAAGGCTTTCGGCTGATTTCCATTTGTTTAAAGCTTGAGATAAGAAATTTAGCGTACTTTTTGCCTACAAGAATGTAAACAAACAATCCAGTTTGGATTTTCACGTGACGTACAGAGCAAAAATATAATACGGGTGATTTTTATATATTTGATATATTTATACTTAAAGAAGAAACCCGTTTTTTAATTTGGGAAAATCATTTGCTAGCACGTCACTGTGGCAGGTCTATTAGGCTGCAGATACGAAGGTAGAAATAAGGAATAAGGTACTAAGTCCACTAGACCATGAGTATTGCCTCGTATTTTGATAAGAAGTCGACATTAAATCGTAGATCTATCGATCAAAGTCCATTAGGCTATGCTAATATTTCGATATAGTTAACTTGATGATCATGCACCTGTACCACCTAGCATGATAATCATGCACCTGTACCGCACAGCATGATAATCATGCACCTGTACTGCTGGAGGCAGTCACTGAGGACCTGCAGAGCATGAGTGACGCGAGGCTCGAGGGCAGGCTTCTCCTGTAGTAGGCGATGCAGGCGCGGCCACGCACCACTCAGACTGTCACGTACGTAGCCCTTCACTTCATAATCTGTAGTTATGATAGTAATCATAATTAATCGAAATAATATGCACTAATAGATATGGCAACGCTTTGCACTCCCGTATTTTCTAGATTTACCTAATAAGAACAATGTGAACTGTCAACCGCGTAATGATATTTAAAATCATTTTGGTGCCGCAAATTCTAGAAATTTGGGTAAAAATTTTATTTGGCAAAATGGACCAATGGGTTTTCTGCGTTATTAATGGTGTAATAAATGAATATAAAATGATTTGAGAGGAATCAGGAAACTATTTTAGTATGATTTGATGTACAAAAAATGAGTAAATCCTCTAACTAAAGTACCTATTTTATTGGACCTGATCCGCATCTGATGCTTTAACACAAACAAAATTATGTTTCACGTTTCATAGATGAACAGAATTCGATTTTAGAAACATCCTGCATATGGATAGTGGATAGTAAACAATGAAAAGCTACAAAGAAAATGCTTTCCAACGCTACGACTTGATACAAGATTATGAAAGACTGGGAACTAAAGCAGAACTTCAATCGCGCGGCTGGGGGCTCATAAACTCGGCTAAACGAAGGTCTCATGAAATCTCGGCTTATTTCAGTCAACGTTTTTACGTTGATTTTTACAATAGAAAACATTGTCTGGGAACATGGATCGCAGTACAATGATGACAGACAAGAATATAAGTTACTTAGAATGTGTATCTCCTTACCTGGTGGTTCTTTGGCACGTCGTCATAAGAGAAATTTCATAATTTCATCCTTTACTAATTTAACCTAACTCAACCTACATGTACTCAGGTTTGCAGACTGCACTTTATGCAATGATGAAATTTTATGTTGAATTGCTATGGTAATGATGAAATTTCCCAATGTAGAATTTTTATAGTTATGGAATGTCTCGCATGAATAGGTTCCTTCTTACCTACCGACCGACCGACCTGCGTCAATCTGGTTCAGTAAGTGTTGCTTGGCAGCGTCCACTGCAGCAGAATCCTGACTCTCGATGGTCAGCAGAGTCTTGTAGTAACTGTGGAGACAAGCAATAGTTAAACAATGAAGGCGAATTGCCCAATAAAGTTGCTCTTATGCCCACATTAGCATGAAATCGGAACTAAACGTAAGCATAAAACGACACCAACACAAAATATGCATATTTTGTGAACATAAATTCGGTAGACGACTCCCTATATAGTTCAATAGATACAATTGTGATAATGCACAATCATAGCTAATTAACTTAGGGGTGATAAATTTTTTCCCCCTCTTAGATAGCTCATTACCAAACAGATAAAACTAAAAGCAAAGTTTGAGAAAATTTCGTATAAAAACTGGAATTGATTAAACTGAGAACCCAATTATTGGCGAAGATACACAGATTTTTCCGACATCCCACCCATGACAGACATCCCTATTCTATGCTCGTAATTGGCAATTTCACGCACACGTGACAGGGCAAGCCTCATTTCTAAAATGACCGCCAGAGATTGGTTGGAAACCACTTAACTATTTTTGTGATAATATTTATTTGGAACTTTGCATTAACCAAGTCATGCTTGAACTGTCTTCAAGTTTGGAGCATATGTTATTCAAGTTCCACCATTATTATTGATTGTTCATTTTATCCAATAGGAGTACCTTTGATCAATCGAATAAATGTGTTTGTGTTTGATAAGAAAATTTTATTCAATTAACTAATAACTGAATGTTTTGGCGGGATTACTTGAGTCCCAGCACAAAATTAATCATGACAAACTTCACAACTTAACTGATTAAAACTAATTTTTTATGATTACAAATCAATTCAGGCATTAAATAGAGAATAAATTTCAAAATCTTATCTTAAAAAAAAATTCTACTTCGCTGGATGCAGAAAAATAACAGTGATTAAAATCACAATCTACCTTAAAAAATGGCGCTAATTTGTTTAAAATTCTTCGAGTTTGAAAGTTTCGAGCAGAGATATAATGGCACTTTGTGCACAATATAATTGCACTATCACAGCTTGAGCTCAGAAGACTAAGGCTCAAATCACGGAATTTGTGGATAATTTACAGGCGGCGCTCTGGCGTGGCCGCGGACCAAGCCATTCAGAAATAAATACTCGACCAACAAGCAGGGCACCTGTGCGTGAGCTGCGGGTAGGAACCAATAGTGACTGAGGGGAAGGCAGCGACGGTGTTGTTCATGGCAGCAGCGAGCGTGACTTCATCCACACTCATATACAAGTCCACGCAATGCACGTGACGGTGGTCCCCATAAAGTTGCTGTAAAAGTCAAAAGTTTTCAATCAATTTCATCAGCTCATCAACAATTATAAGTACATACACCGCAGGTGCGATAAAAATAATTAAAAATTTCAATAAGAATTACATCCTCGGCAGGTGCAGTAAAAATAATTAAATTTTCAAGAAGAATTACATACACCGCAGGTGCGATAAAAATAATTCAATTTTTAATAAGAATTAAACTACCAATATAAGTAAAATAATAAACAAACCTTTGCTAATCTAACAAAAGATTTTTCCAGGAGGCCAGGGACGCCAGGAAGGACGGTCACATTGCGTACGCACACGACAGGAAACTTGGACTTGTATCCTGTTGCTCGATCCTCAGCGTACACTAGTGAAGAGCTGGCAGGGATCTGCAGCAATCAAGAGAGAAAATGCACTAATTTACAAAATATAGTGATTATGAATAAAGTGGTACAGATATCTAGATATAAACTAGTAAAGCTTTTGAACATTTTGTACCAGTACTGAAGGCAAAGAATATCTGTGTGAACAAGAATAGGTAGACATTCCAATAAAAGGCAAAGTTAAAAAAAAAAAAATACAGAGCAAAGCATGAAAGTTAAGGTCCATGAAGGCCTGGAAAGACAAAATGTCTCAGAACAATAGGGAATATATCTATGAGGCAGGGTTTCTTAGCATGCTAGCAACATTTAAAACTTTCAAATATTTAGTAGAATGTTACATTTTGTACAGAAAAAGTTTTTTTTATCAATTCAAGGAAGAGAACTTTCTTGTTGAACCTTGCACAATGTGCAAGTGTGACCAGAGGACTTGTAGATAACAAATATGCAACGATATGCGTGGGCTGGAATTTTTTAAATTTTATTAGATCAATATGATTGAAGATGAGCGATGAAACGATGGAGCTGTGGAAAAAATACAATACCTACAACATGAGCAATCTGAAATAAGTGAAACTATAGATAATAAATATAATAATGTGGGCAAGCTGGATGCTGGTAGAAGTATAGAAATAACATACAGTGCAAGGAGACAGCAGAGATTGAGCATGTGAGAAATTGAACTATCATCCAATGCATGTTTCATTAAGAATATTAATAATTTTTTTCTTTAATTTCCAACTACACCAGTAATGCAAATGATAAAATATAGGTAATGCCAACAACAACAACATTCATAGCCAGATCAATGCAAAGTAAAGCGTTTTGGTAGTAAAATCATATTAAAATTTAGATTTTGAATTAAATAAAATGTGACTAATGTTTAACAGGTAGAAATGAAATTATTCTGATTGTCACAGCTGTATGAAAAATAACAGCAGAAACAATGTTTTTCAAGCAATCATACAAATAAAGAAGAATCTGAATTAACAAGTGCATGAAATGCTTACCCACATGAGCCATTTTCATGGGAGGCGTTGAGAGGTCTGAAGTCTTGAAGTAGTTGCCGATGAAGGTTACTAGCTCAGGATGAGGGATCAGGGGCTCATTAAAAGCATTGGCAATGCCTGGTGAACAAAATTAATTTATTAAACACTTGCAGTGCACTGAATTGCAGTTTATAATTCAACAACTGGAATGTAGGTAGTGACAAAGAGGCAAAATCGGCCATGTGAATCATGAAATGTCACAAAATCTTAGCATCAATCAAAGTAAGTATTGTAAATTTGTAATGAGTAAATAAGTACTGCTCAGAAGTAAATAAACATGCCTTGAAAAGTGACATCATCGTGGGTTGGGCCAATACCCCCAGACGTGATGACATAAGTGAACTGAGATGAGAAGAGCCGAACTTCATTGCAAATTGCTGATAAATCATCACCTATGACAACAACCTGGAGAGATTAAAAAAAATCATGATATAACCATATTCAATGGGTCTATTGTCATACTGCAGCAATTCATAACTTAGTTAAATGGGGCTTATGAATGTAACAATATTATCAAAAATAAGGATAGGTAGTGTTCAGAGATAGCAATAGTAAAGAAATTATGAAATACCATATGCCATAATAATGGTTCTTATGAATACAGAAAAAAAACAGAACATAGCAAGGAAATAATGGCTCAATTTCTCACCTTTTTCACTCGTATTCCAAGTTTATATAATTTCTGAGCTATGAAGTGGCTGTTTGTATCTTGGGTTCGTCCTTTCAAAATCTCATCCCCAATAACTGAAATATTATTAAGTAAATATTGTGAAGAGAGCATGAAACTTGACATAGAATATACAAAAATTTTCTTTATAAAGTTTATATTGCAAAAAAAGCATGAATCTTGACATAGAGTATAGAAAAATTGTGTTATTTGTTAACATCCAATTTTCAAATACTGGTTCAGTCAATAGGTAGTACTACAACCAGTGTGAGAGTGGAATATTTTGGTGATGAATAGTGAGTGGATAACTAAACACATTCATAGTAGCATTTTCATCAACACTATGTACCAAATGACAAGCATTGAATTATTTTTCAAATTTTCTTTGGTAAGTAAAATTTAGTATTTGCTTATCAAGTTGATGACACAAATTTGATAATGACACACAATCATGTTTAGCATCACTTTACAAATTTAAGCTTTCTAATTTTAAAACAATTCTCCCTATGTGATAGTAGAAAGTCCTGTATGTTATTTTCAATTTACAGGGAACTATTGATTTGGAAGATCAGTTAAAGTTATTACAGATTTGACCAAGTTTCTAGTTGTGTTGCCATTTTGACAAACTAATGTAGGAGCTGTTGCTGAAAAAGTGAAGTGCATATGAGATAAAGAAAAATTGACTCAACCCTGCTAGTAGGAGTATTTAAACAAATGCCCAGGATACTTTACTTTACCTACTGGCTACTGTAAAATTCTACCTAGTATTTCTGTTGTAACAAGCAAATTCTGTTGTAACAAGCATGTTCAATACTTAACTTATGCATATTGATCATCAAAATAATAATAGTAATAATAATAAAATGGTAAACGAACAAATCACTTAGCCTGCAAAACTAAATATGACTCACCAATGATACCAGCAGTAGGTGAGTTGCTGCTTGTAATTGAAGTGCTGCTGCCAGAAGTCTTGTCCATAGTAGAAGTCATGTGGTTCAAAGGCCTCAGATAATTTGTTTGTCTCCAAACTGGTTCACTAGGATATTTTGAACATAAAGAGCTTACAGCACAGCCTTGAACCAAAAATTTTGATTTTAGAAAAAAAGGGAAAGGAATTTTTGCAGATCTGATAAAAGGAAATGCTAGGGTACTCATGGCAGATGACAATCTCAATACCATTTCAAAATTCTGAACTATTTATTTGCATGGTTGTGATTTGATTAGTGTAACTTGCAAATTAGATAAGAGCTTAAGTTTATCTTGAAAACTAAAGATGTGTTGATCTGACAAAGAAAAGAACCAGAAAACCATAGAAATTACCAGAAAAAGCAATACTGGGCTGTGGGGTTGGTCAACAAACATGGTTATTAGAAAAAGTTTCAAAGAGCTGAAAATCAGTGCAGATTTATATTTTTGTTAGTATGGATATGACAGAAAATTAAAAGAAATAATTAAATCTACCCAAGCTATTCATCCAAATTTGATCAAAAGTTTCATGTTGGCAATATTCAAGGCAATCTAATGTAACCTAATGCAATCTAATGTGTCCTAATTGAACCTGATGCTTCCTAATGCAAACTAATGTAACCTAATGAAATCTAATGCAACCTTATTCAATTTAATGCATTCTAATGAAATGTAGTGCAATCCAATGAAACCTAATGCAATCTAATACATTCTAATTCAGTGTATTCAATTTTATTGAATTAGGTTGGCTTGAATCGGGCTGGAATGATATGATTTGTGTTGAATTAAATTGGGTTGGGTTGAAATGAGTTTGGTGTAGTTGAATTGAGTTAGAATGTGTTAATTGGTTTCCATTGAATATGGTTTGATTGGGTTTAGTTTAGTTAAATTTAATTGAATTAAGTTAGGTAGAATTGAATTTGGCTGGTTTGGGTTAAATTTTATTTGGTTGAATTAGGTTTGGTTTGGTTGAATTTGGTTAAGATGAATCGGGCTGAGTTGCATTGGGAAGGATTGGGTTGAATTGGTTTGGGTTGTAATTGCTTGGGTTGTAATGGCCTGGGTTGAATTGGTTAGGATGGCTTAGGGTTAGGTTTGGTTTAATTGGTTTGCATTGGGTTGGGTTGAATTTGGTTGGATGAATTGGGCGATGTTGAATTTGGTTGCACTGGGTTGGGCTTGGTTGTAATGGGTTTGGATTTGCTACATTCAAGTGGCTAGACTAATGATTTAGTCTGTTTATTTAAAATGATTCATCACAAGCTGCTTATTATCCATAGTCAGTGCAGTGAGGCTCTCTCAATGTAGGCACTCAAATTTTTAGAGTGCAGAGTGCCTACATTGAGAGAGCTTCACTGCACTGATGATGGATAAAAAGCAGCTATACTTAGAACCATCAGAACTGCACAGTGCACTCTATTGCGTAGTTCAGGTAGCTGTGAGCAATGCTTGGGTGTTCAAGTTTATGCTCTCACAGCTATCACAACTGCACACTACATTGCAAAGATTTGGTGGCTGCAAGTTGTTAGGGCAGATCAAGCTCATGTGTTTAAGCTCACATTTTCTATTTTTCTATTTAATTCAATTATTGTTTTAGTTTACTGCAAACTTGGTTACTACTTGTTGTATTTCATGCATTTGTGTCTAATGTCACCCTATGTTCTTTTGTCATGTTTCAGGTATTGAATGACCCCATATTATTGTTACAATGGTTCTTTTCATATGTCAGCTTGATAAATTTTTTACTCAATTTACTGCAATGCTTGTGCTTGCAATAACTACTTTAATTGTTTTCTTAAATAATTTTTGCACTTATAATATCTACACTTGCATTTGCTCTTGACTGTTTTAACTCTATAATATATTTCTTAATTACCTATCCTATTTTGTTGCTCATGTTTAAAGTCAAATTAACTTCACTAAATCCTCTTACATGACAAATACATTATGCCTCTTATTGTATTTATATTTATATTGGTTTTTCTCAGTTCCTGTGTATATCATTCCACTCATAGTTTCATAGTCCTAAATATATTTGTTTATTAATTTAATCTGAATTATGAGTTCTGGCAAACTATTTCTTAATGTATAAAATTTTTAACATATTGGCTTATATTTTAATAAATGAAAATAAATTGGAAATAAATAAATAAATATGAAATAATAAATAATATAAACATATAATAAATAAATAAATAAATAAGAATAAATAAATCCTGCCAAAAACTAATCCCTAAATTTATTGATCCCCATTTTCTGTGACAAGCACTATACGAGTACATTTTCAGTAAGTAAACAAGTTTGCGTTCCACCCACTAGTGTGCCCAGTTACAGGCTTACAGCGTATGCTTGGGTGCTCAAATATAGTCTCTAAAAGCCATTGGACTGCACGCTTCATTGAGTTAGTTATGGTGGCTCTGAGCATGTATGCTTGGGTGCTCTAACCTAATTTGCTCTCACAGCCATTGGAGCTGCGTGCTACATTGAATAGTTTGGGTGTCTGTGAGTGCATATGCTTGGGTGCTCAAATATACGCTCACAGCCATTGTAACTACAAGCTATGATGTGTAGTTCTGATTGTAGTGTGTAGATCAATATGGCGCATCAGCCATATCAATCGTAAATCACGATTTATGGAGAAGCATAAGCATAATTGACAACCGCCGTCCAGTCACCAGTGGCATCCACCTTGATCGTACCATGGCATGTTTAGTACATGAAATTGGCGTTCTTGAGTCTTGACCTATGTTGTACCACTGCCATGCTTTACAGATTGGGAGGCAACCTGCTAATCCCATTATTCCCAATTTCCCATTACAATAGGAGAGGGACGGGCTTACTGGCGCTGCCCCTGCAAAGCAGAGAGTTTTTTAGACTCTCCCTCAAGTTCATTTTTTGAGTCCCATAAGTAGACCCGTAAAGTATCATGGATACCGGTACGGCGGTACCAGCATTATCATACATAAGAAATTGGTTTAAGTCTTCACTTTTGAGTAAATGAGGAAATTAAAAATGAACTGATTCTAAAAAATCTCTGGTTTGTCACTATGAGTATGACTATGTATCTCATAATCCCACTCATATTAGACAGTGCGGCTGTCACAGTCCCAGTCATAGTGGAATTCTAGAAATTAGTTGTTCATTTTAATCATTTAGATCCACCAGGAATCTAGGATGGCTGTCTTGCTCCTATCCTGCTTGCGCACCCACTCAAGCAACCAGGAGCACGCTGCCAGCTTGCTTGTAATTCAGGATTAGGATTTTTCTACTTGCTTCTAAAATCTTGCAGCTCCAACATGAAAAATTCTTAATACATTAGGAATCTTGCAGCCCAATTGTGCACTTTTGTTAACAATTAGATAGGAGGTAATTCATCTGGCAGAAATCTTGCAGTTCCAGAAATTGCAGGAAAGACAACAACTAGTTGCGGCCCTAAAGTAAAGGTAGATGTTTTCCACGCTTGGCTTGTATTGGAGGCTTTGGAGCGAGCAGCACTCCCGCTACTTTTGGAGAGAGTGCGCTACCACAGTAGTGACAGTACTGCCTACTTCTGGCCACTGCGCACCTCCATTACATAGGTATAATTTAATTTAGATTTTACAATGCCACCACACCATGAATTAAGGGTCTACCGCTGGTCCTGGCCCCTAATTTCCTAAAAGTGCATTTACAGTAGATACTGTAGGGATTGAGTAGAACCTCAGTTAGGAAAAGCTCCAGTTAACAAAAAAAAAAATCAATCAACAACAAAGAATTTTGATTACATTTATCATTACCTATTAGGCTATTGTAATTTACCTCACTCAGCATTCAGCAAAAATTTCTAATTTCACTTAATGAAAAATTAATGCATCATCACTCATCAGTCATCACAAAATTGTGCATAGAATTTCATAGATAATATTGAGCACCAGGCAACATGGAAATGAATGATAACTTGATAAGTAATTAACCTAAAATATGATTTACCTATTTCTCCAACTAAAATATTCCTTTCTGTCTCACTCAGTCACTCGACTCAGTACTCACTGTCTCTACACTGAACACTCTACTCTGAGCTCTGTCTCTGGTACGTTTTTACAATATTTTTGTTGTAGTGAATTCACTTGACTCAATTAAAATGGTGCGAAATTACAAGCCGTCCTGTAAGCTTACAGATACTGAACTGAACTAACTGAAGAAATGCATAGGTATGGCGGCCGATATGAAACTTGCAGGATGCAGTTGCAGTGGTCCAGTGGACACGGTCGTTGACTTAAGAGGCCCGTTCAGCCGGCTCAGCCGCGTTAGTCGCTAATGTAATTTTATAACTATTACTAGGTCCAATAACTCCCCTCATAAGTAAGATATAAGTCTGAAATTTGGAATGCTATCCTGGCTAATTATTTTTAATACGTAGACATTAAGATAAATTATGTAAACTTTTTATTTCAACTGTTATCAGGGAGGATGAAATCTTGCACCCCGATATTCGATTCATAATCATAGAAGTAAGATACAGGTTCGCAGTAGGAATGCAAACCCCTTCATAATCATAGAAGTAAGATACAGGTTCGCAGTAGGAATGTGAACCCTTCATTCTATTTACAAATTATATTTTACAGTCGCATTCACGGACTGTCGAAGTCCGCGAGTAGTAAGTAGTAAACCTATAAAACCTTACTTCTTACTTACTTCTGGTAACATTGCTACGTTACAATATTTATTAATGAAGGATATAGAAGTAAGTAAGACGCATAGAAGTAAGATACAGGAAAAGAAAGAATGCAGAAAGGAAAAGGATATGGGAAGCTAATCACAGTGGCTTTTTTAACGTTTCAAGAATAAAATTCTACATTCATACATGGACTATAGGCATAAATGTAGAGTGACATTCTGTGTTTGGGGGTGAGGAGGGGTGAGGGGCAGGGTTTAAAGTGCCAACCCGCCAACGAACGACGTTTACAATTATGGTGGTGAGCTCGTAGGGGAGAGCAGATACCCTTACCTATCAAATTTCTGGGGAGGTTGAGGTGAGGATCAAATCAGCAAACTGTCTGAACATCTCTCTATATTTCACCTTATGTTATGATTTGAAATTTCTCGCACTTAATATTGCGATGGATGTTTCTGGAAGAGCTTCTAATTAAATATCAAATAAAATCATGACAAAAAAATTCGTTTGCAGATAGTAATAAATTCGAAGCGATATTAACACGTTGACTGCGTATTGGTACATATGCGTACCACGAAATGTATTTCTCCTGGTATATAATTCAGAGTTGCCAGATGGCCTAAAAAACGGCCAATTAAGTCCTTGAACAAAAAGGCCTATAACTCAATATATACTAGTATATTTGTAGGTTCCGATGTAAAAATTCAATTTTTTTTAGTAAATTAGGAAGCGCCCCTTAGGGCCTTACAGCCCCTATCATAAATTTTAGCCGACCACCTAAATTGAAAAAACTAAATCGCGGAATTTGTCCGGTAAAAAAAGAAAGTCTGGCAACCCTCTTCCATAATAGTACTAGAAAAATGGAACAAAAGTACAAGATGAACCAATCGTAGTCAACGTGTTAACGATGATGTTGTCCATGAATTAATATGTACATATTCAAACAACGTTGACATTGCTACGTTACAATATTTATTAATGAATGATATCCGTCATTCAGTCCTTGAACAAATCTATATAAGAATGCAAAGAAGCCTGTAACTAAACAGTGCACATAATAAGAATATACTACACCTAATAACTATACAGTGCAGTAAATAACTATACAGTTATGTATAGTTATACTAGGTAGGTGAGGGGACGAGGGGACACACCGCACTCGTACACTGCCATGGGCCCACAGCACCGTGACAGCAGTAAATCACTCCTCAACCCTAACCTTCCCCACTACAAGGCTCGCTGTTGTCTCGCGTTTACATGCAGTTCGAATATGGTAGCGTAGCGCGGATTTCGACAGTCCGTGAATGCGACTGTAAAATATAATTTGTAAATAGAAATTTTTGTATGTCTTTATTCCTGAACTTTTGAATTGCTAATAATCATGAACAGCCTGAATGATCAGAATAGACTGGTGGACACTGTTCGCAGTGCACTGAATTTCTCCTCTCTGCAGCGAACGGTTCATCTATTAGTGAAAAATAAGCCGCTGTCTGCAGTGAAGATGATAAATTTTGCGCTAACTCGGGAAATAGGGAGAATTTAAATAGTAATGAAAATGTTTACCTCGACGTAACTAAAAAAATCTATGCACAATTAATGTGCAGCTCATACTTCATTATTCTCGCGCACTTTCGGCCACGTCACTACGCTGCCAGACGCTGCCGCTGAAATTTACACTGCTCTCGCCCAGTGTGCCGAGTTTAGAGTTGGAGCGTCCGTGAACGGGCCTCTTAACATAACAGTGATCTCGGCGCTGAAGTGTAGGCCCGACAGAATCGGAGAAGTGACAAGTGAGCGTTGAGCGGTCTTGTGCCTTCAGAACAAAACCTGACAGGATCACAGTCTGCGTCGGACTGACGGAGTGACGGTCATTGCAGTGTGGGAGAGCCGGAGAGTCACTCAGCTGCGTTCATCAAGTAAACATATCTAGTGTCTATCGCCCTTGATTTCGTAAAGGTAACCGGCAAATAATCATCTATGAATCACATATTACTTGATTTTGGATTATACTTTATATAATATATAGGTACCACGACTCCACGAGCACGACTCATGAGTATATTTAGGCATAATTTAGCCAAGGGTCCGTCCAGCATCAAGAACACAGCGGGGCTTTCTCTCCCCTCCAGACTCCTCAGTCCTCTTCTTTTTGAGAAGGTACTAGGTAGGACGTAGGAGTAGAACGATGGATGTAGGTCTGTACTGTGTACTCACTCTACTCACTGTAACTCACACTCAGTAGCCTGTAGGCCAACCAAAGTTTAAATTAAGGCAGTTAAAATTCTTGCATTGTATTTCAATATTATTTTTTTTCTCTTATACATTATACTACGAGTCTTATTAAGGCTAAATTATTTTTCTTGAAACCCTGGTTAGGCTGGCTTTGGCAGTTTGGCTACATGATCATTACTTCATTAGCCTATCCTATTACTAGGTAACTTGTCATCTGCTCAACTGCTGCTTTGGATTTATTCATTTATTACTGTATTATTATTTTTGTTACAGTATGTCTTAGAGTTAGAAATTAGAATCATACCTATGCTGTAACTGCCACTGTGTTTAAGTGTGTTACCATCAAACGGGGTAAAGAGGGATGGGCGGGGTAAATAGGGACGCGCGTCCCAGTCCCACATTTTGTAGAAATGTTGTAGCAGCTAAACTAATCAAAATATTGCAAAACTAAAAATAGTGGCATCAACTTCAACATTTTTACTATCTATTATGTATGAAGCTAGTCAAGAAATCAAACATTTACTATCTCTAAAAAATCGTTGAAAAAAAGTATGAAAAGTGTGATTTTGGAAAAGAACCTCTGCTAAGGTCTGGACTCTGGAGGACTGGAGCCAAAAAAAATATTCACCATATTAAAAAATTTTACTTGCATAAAAGTTGCACTCAGGTTTCGGCTTGAAAATGTAATTGACAGAATTTGCCTAGGTATCTCATTCCAACAAAAAATGGCAGCCATTTCTGCATGACAGGGTAAAAAGGGAGTTAAGGGACACCCCCCCCCCTGGGGTAATTAGGGACACTCTTAAAAAATGCATTTACAGTAGAACCTCAGTTAGCAAAGGCTCCAGTTAACAAAAAAAATTGATTAACAACAAAACTTTGATTACATTTACCTTGCTTGGCAAAAAAAATTCTCTTATCAAAAAATTTGTGCATCATCGGTCATCACAAAATTGTGCATAGAATGCTATATATAGAATTGTTAATTGTGCACCGGGCATCATAGAATGAAAAGTAATTGACCTAAACTATGATTTATTTCATCAAAACATATGATGGTTGTCACTAAAACATTATTTTCTGTTTCAGGTATGTTTTTCACAATCTTTTTTGTTATAGTGAAATCACTAGACTCGATTAAAATTGTGAGAAATTACAAACCATCCTGTAAGCTTACAGATACAGAAGAAATGATATATGGCTGCTGATATGAAGCTTGCAGTGGACAAGGTCATTGTCAATGCTCAATGGCATGTCCATGGATACAGTAATATCACATTAATAATGGGGTAATTAATGGATATGGTAATATCAGATCAATAAAGGAAAAACAAGTAAAAATCACAGAAAATGTCATTTATTTTACATCTACATCATCTACAATGAAAGAGGAGGACTTCAAAGTACTGATAATAATGGATGAGTACACTCTGCATGCTTCAAATGTTTAAAATTGAGTTTTATTTCAAGTGTCCCTATTTCCAGATTAATTCAGGAGCCATTTGTATTGTGTCTAGCACCTTACAAATAGCATATAGAATTTTTTTGGAGATGCCATGTGATAGCCCTTGCAAAGACCTTTAAAATGAGCCCAAACTTGTTTCTGAAATGTTTCATGGTAAGAAGTTATTAACAAAAAACGCTCAAAACCGTCCCTTTTTACCCCGTTTGACAGTATGTACCTACCGGTATATATTTTATGTCTTTAGACTAATCACTTAGAAATTAGAATTCTTGCATTGTTTTGTCTTTTGTGACATATCTACTAGACTACTATTGCCTTTGTTATCAATATCAGAACTGTTTGACTCTGATTGGCAGAATTGCATCAACTAATAGCTATGTAAAATTGTTACATCAATACTTGCCCTAGTAGGCTAGTAGCCTATAACTTCATCTCTATATCACCAATGTGAAGAAAATTATTTTGTTGTGTTTTTCCTTAACTATTTGCTTGGTGGACTTGTCACATTTATAAATAGCATATATTATATTTTCTGCATTACTATTGTAAATTGTAATATGTGATTGAAGAAAATACATGCACAATGATAATGTCAGAGTCTGAGTCAGTGAGTCCGGCTGTCTGACATGCTAAGCCAGGCTAGCAGCCTGCTGCCCTAGCAGTGATGATAACTTGACAAGGATATTGTCCTGGAAATACCAACACAAGATGCAGCTGGCCCTCTCCTGCAATCATGACTCCAACCATCTTCATACATCACCTGCTGGCCCAACTCCCAAAAAAAGTCCTCTCATTTTATTGCATATAAAGTAAGAATCTACAATGCACAACCCAACCCCACTCAGATGCTAGAGATGTCAAAAACCTAAACACCTCTCCAGTGAATGCACAGCACCCATGACCCATGCACTGCCTGTTCTGTGTAGGAAACCACTCCAAAGAAGTGTGTGCATCAACCACAAATTTTGGATGACCTCATATTGCCAGTCATAGAGAATGTCGATACAACATACAAGCTAAAGGCAATAGACCTGCTGACAAGTGATGGCATGTCCTATGACTCTGCCAGGAGGCAAACAGACTTGATGTTCAGAAATCCTCTTTCAAAAGATCACACCATTGAAAACCAAATTAGCCAGGCAGTAAAAAATTTGTCACAACTACAAGTGCACCAAAAGAATCTTCCTTCCAGCCTTCTAGCATCTAGGCAAGTACAACTTGAGCAGTGAAGCAGATGTGTATAAATCCCAAGGCACTTACACAGCAACTTGCCCTCCCCACAAGCCACATTAACATAAGAGAACACCTACAGCCAATTGGCCCAGTCTTTAAGGAGACATAACCTGACTCATAGCCTCTGCCACCTGACCCCTGAACAACCATCATTGGTAGATGCCATTGTGATGCTAACAAACTTTAAGGCCCTGATTGAGAACCAAGCAAAGTCTGAGAGCGAGGTTTTTGCGACCATCATGTAAAATCCTTGAACTGCCCAAAGCTTGGCCAGTCCCTACCCTCGAGCTTGTACTCTTTGTAATATGATATCATAGCCAGCCCCTTTCTCGTGGCAACTGGTCACTTTCAGGTGGCTGAGGAATGGCCAACGGTCAGCTAACTAATTGGACTAGGAGTAAACTTAAGCCTAATTTGTGAAGAAATTCATAGGGAAGAGCCGATCCTGTTCGTAGCCTCGTGGTTCTCAATCATTGCCTTAAGCTCTTGTTGTGGCTCAGAAGGCACATATGGAATATTGGAGAGAATTCTCTTAAATTGCAGAAGGAAAAAAGACCATATGACAAGTGATTCACAAAAATTCATGGGCAAAAAATTACCTTATTTTTAATATTTATTGCTGAAACTAGTCATGGGCCATAGGAGTAGGTGAAATTGACCGCAAGAATAGGATTTTTCATCTCATTTCCAGTCTAATAGTCCAGGTTGGTTAGAAGGTAGATACCTATATTCCATACTGGCATAAGCCCAAAATAGAAGATCAGAAATTTTTTAATATAACAGCCATGGAAGACATTTTTCCATTAGGCAGTTTTCATAGAATGAGGGAAAAATTTGCAGTCTTTCTTCATTTATGTATTGCTTGGCAGTACAAGGCCTAAGTAATGTTACTTTTCTTGTATAGAAATGAAAAAAAACTACATATGCTATCTAGTTTGTAAAATGCTTGATAGAAAAAAGTAATTTCCAATTTTCCATGTCTATGATTTTTATGAATCCAACAATTTTTTGTATAATGTATATAATGTACTTTTTCATCTCTACAGCTTTCAACTGGAGAATTATTTCAGATTTTATTCTCTCAATGTTACAACTGGCTATCAGGAGATCATTATTCCAAACAGAATTATGCAAATGCATGAGAAGTGTTTGTGTCAAGCAAGATTTCTCAAGGTACTTTTCTCAATGTGGAATTTGAATAACTTGTATACTAGTAAGTAAGAGTGATGTTAGCAATTTATTGCCATTCACTGTTGATTTTTTTTTTATCCGTTGTTCTTTACCTTGTTGTCTTATTTCTTCTTGAGAGCAATTGTTGTTTTAGCTCAGCATCAAGAATTAGCAGTTTGAAGTAGATTTTCCACAATCCAAATTTGTTTCCAATACCAACCTCTGTCAGCTCTCAGCTGATGATATTGACCAAAATTTATATCTGATGATATTGGCTGCAATGATATTCTGGAGAAAAATAGCCATTTTTACCTGACTTTTCAAATCTGGTGTCATTTCCTTTCCACTGATTTTCTACCTGAAATTATTCCTACTTTGTTTTCAAGATATTATCTAAAATTATTCGGAATTTATATCAAAATTTCTAAGCCTGTTTGTGTTAACCTCTCATTGAAACTGTTGAAGCTTTGTGTTGTGGATGCCATTATATTTTCTTAGTTTCTATCCTGATGTGAATTTGCAGCAATTAATTTAACTGGGTTTGATTTGTATTGGGAGTGCATTAAATATTACACAATGAGTGTGTAGTATCCAGGGTAAGCACATTTCACAATAGCTACTGTATCAAGATGTCACGTGGACATAAATTGCATTTTTTAAATATATCGGAATAATAGCATGCAGCAAAATATTAGTTGAATTTAGAATTACAATTTTATTTGCTTTTTAATTTATTAAGACAATAAATAATTGCATTGAAATTTCAAAATGTGGTTCAAAACAGGGTTTAGTAAAATGGGGTTACTTGGACCATTTTTAGCACTTACCTTTTTGTGATAATAATTGAAACATTGTAAATATTTAAAATTTATCTTTTTATTGTATTTTGCAGTTATCATATGGTGTATATACTTCATGAGCCATCAAGACAAATTTTCTGAAGCAAGAACTTTTTGAGGATAGAGTTTCTTTTCTTAAATGTCAAAATGTTCCAAGTCAATCCTTTTAAAACACTTCTCTTTAACTTCACTTCTTGTTTGTTTGTTTGTCTGTCTGTCTGTCTGCTACAAATCTTATAAACGATTTTTAACACACTTCTACCTCTCCAATCGATCTAAAATTTTGCACACTTGCGTAAAGTTGGAGACCATGCATGAATCAATTGGCAGAATTTATTATAACTGGTATTTGACACACTTTTACCTGTCTAATTGATCTGAAATTTTGCACACTTGTGTGAAGTCAGAGGCAATGCATGAATCAATTAACATAATAAATAATTTTGAAAAAAAATTATATATTAAAAAAATTTATATACATTAAAAAAAATAAAAAGTTAATTTTTTAATTTTTGAAAATTAGATGAGAAATTCATTGTACATCTGTAAGATTGGAGATACTGGATTCTTTGGAAGTGTTGTCTTTAAAAAGTAATTTTTAAACGTATATTATTACAGTTCTTTTTATGAGGGGTTTGAAAGGATCAATCGCATTTACTTCTCTACTAATCTTTGAAATTAACAATATTGTTATTAAAGCTGCAAATTGCATAGACAATTTGACTCTTAAATTTTAAAGATTATATATAAATATCAAGCATAAGTGGCATTATTCCTGCTAATTATTCATTTGTATTTTAAGTACTATTTTTTGTTATTTCATTCTCAGGAAGTTTTTAAAGAAAACGTAAATTGTTTTGTTGTAGGTATGTATTGAAGTGATGTTGCATCTAGTCATTCATGAGCAGTTGGATGAACTGCCTGGCCATTGACTTCAATGCGAAAATATTTTTTGTTGTTGTAATCTATTCATATCTACTGATATGTCATTAGTGTCATTCACGAGCAGTCACAATTCATTGACTTCAATGCAAAAATATTTTTTGGTGTTGTAATCTTTTCATATCTACTGATATGGTTTCCATAATAAGTTTAAAACTTTTTGATGTTGTTCATTCTTCATATAATTTTTTCTAAACTTCTTCAATTCAGAAAAGCCAATGCACCTGTGGCCCTGAGCTTCGAAAAAATTGCTGGAGACAAGCGCACCCCATTAATCATTTTACATGGTCTCTTGGGGAGCAAAAATAACTGGAAGAGCATCTCAAAAGCCCTGGTCCATTCAACATCAAGGACTGTAAGTTATGATTTTGTCATCTTAATTCTAATATATTGAAGATTACAATCAATAAAGATGATCCCAGCCCTGTTACTCCTTCTTTGCTTAGTTGCAGGATAGTTTAAACAAAGCCTTTTCATTCTTCACTCAAGGCACAGCCTATCCTGATATTTATACTTATCATTGTTATATTCATGCTATATTTGAAAGCCATTCGCTCTTCTGTGTTAATATTCCACTCTAAATATAAAATTAAGGATGCCTGTTTTATTTTATGCTCCAGTTTGGCTGCAAATGAAATCAATGGCATTGTCTCATAAAGAAAGGTTCATACTGTTTTCAGTACAAACTTGTGAAATTATATGTTTAAACAAATTAACCAATAACTTGTTCTTTTACTGACTATGTATATGTATGCAATTTTTAACTTCAGGTTTATGTACTGGATGCCCGCAACCATGGAGAGTCTCCTCACACACCCACCATGACGTACCAACTAATGGCAAGAGATCTGGTGTGTATTGGCTTAGAAATTCTCCAGTACAATATGTATTCTATATCAATCTAGTAAAACTTAAAAGCTATTTTAGAAATTATGACAATTTTGAAATATTCATGATGATATATCTTTTCCAGATTGCTTTCCTGCACTCAGAAGGTTTTTCTTCAGCCATCGTGATGGGTCACAGCATGGGTGGGCGCACAGCCATGGCAGCGGCCCTACTAGATGTGAGTGTTGCATTGCCTTTTTTTGCAACATAATGACCGGCACCCAAGTTCTTTGTGTGACCAGCAACTCTTGATGTGAGTTTTAAAAAAACATTGTATTTTATGTCATTATTTGTCTAGGCAATTCGTTCCTATATTTGGATACTTCATAAAGGAGTGTATTATCAATTTTGTGGGATAAAAATATTAAACTTTATATATTGTTACACAACAATTACAATTCATTTAATGATCATTGCTTTTACTGAATTAACACATTCTAAATTATTGAAAGCTTTGGCAAGAGTGGGACGAGTTTTTATTATCCTAATTTTTAATTAAAGTTAGCTTATTTCGACTGTTCACAGTAATTGAGAATTATTTAATAGAGTTAATAATAAATAGTAATTATGACCCCATTGCTCCCAGTCGTGGGACAATTTTTTTTAATGTTCTATCGCGTCCTATGTTGAACTTAATGATCTTACAGGCAGCCATGATTCGTGAGCTGCTGGTGCTGGATATCTCTCCTTTTGGGGTTTCTGAGAGCATTTCCACATTACCTCGCTTCGTAGAAATGATGAGGCGAATAGAGTTGCCTTCACATCTCAACTTGCCACAGGCTCGGAAAGTGGTTGATGAGATGCTACTACCAATCGTGCCCGTCAGTGATATTCTGATGAAAATTCATTAAATCCTTATAATAATGATAATAGTATAGTAAACTATTCTAAATTATTTTCTAAAACCTACATTTGTGTATTTTTTATGTCATTCCAATTTTTACATGTAATTGGAAATATAATTGTACCGTATAAAATATGTCATATTACAATTCGTTACAAATTTTCCAGGAAACTGGTGTGAGACAATTCCTCTTGACTAATTTATACAAGGCTGATGATGGTTTCAAGTGGAAAGCGAATTTGGATGCCATTAGCCTGTGCTTCAATCCACACATCTGCACCTTCCCTTTGGATGAACTGCCCGGCCAGTATGAAGGGCCGACTTCATTTATTGGCGGAGCGCTTTCAGATTACATCAAGTAATGTCCTGCTTGTTGAGTATTTTAGTTTACTTATAGTATTAGACCTTGCATATATATTATGTTTGATAGTATCCTTTAAAGCAAAATGTGTCTACTGTGATTAAGGTTTGTCCCACAACTTTTTATCATACCATAGATTGGGCCTTCTCTGATTTTCTTCAGAAATAGGAATTTCACTCAATATGAAAATATACGAGTAATGTAGTTGAAATAAAATGAGATCTTCTTTAGATTTGCTTTCTCAAATCTTTTTAGTACATTAAACTGGATGAGCTTGGGTTAAATCTTTCATTTTTTTCGTGCAGTAAGAGGGACATCGAACGCATACGGGAAGTGTTCCCAAGGTCCGAGTTTCACTTTGTGGAAGGCGCCGGCCATTGGTTACATGCCGACAAGCCTAAGGAGTTCATCAGTCTCGTTTCTTCTATAATAAAATAGGACGCATCACATGCGAAGGTGATAATTTTTTATAGCTCAATCTTTGTTTGTTCATATTGGAATTATACTAATAGTCTTGTACTCCACGCTTCAAATATTTCTATGTAAAATATTGCACGTTTTTAGCGCCTGCGAGCGATCAACATGAATTTTGGGACCTGGCAGTTACTGAAAAAGTGAATTATTGTTTTTCAATGATCACTTTTGCAGTGAATGTCTTGACCCTAAATATATCTCTACTACTGGTGGACTGAACTCTAGAATTCATTTTGCTACTAGACGCTCGAGATATTACTTGACACCAAAGTTTGAATATAGTTGTACATGTACATATTGAATTGTGAGAGGGGAACAGAGGAATAAAAATAGCACTAAATAATTCATATAAAAGTATCTGAACCACTTTATCCATAGAATTTATCGTATATAGTAAAACTGCTTGAAAAAACGCATGTTAATAGGTTAAACGCGTCTTTTGTGATAAAATGGCTCATTAATAAATCGCCATTAAATGGTTTCTTGATTTTTACTTTGTCATTTAAATTTCACCATGGTAACTTTTCTATCTAGAATGTTGAGTTATTTATTTTACAAAGATTCAATGAGTAGAAATATTTAAAATATGTAAATGAATCAATGTATAGAAATAATTGATTTGAAATTATTATGCAAGAAAATAACGTCACCAATAAGGAACCAAAATGAAACGATGAAAGCAATGAAAGTATTTTTTTCTGAAACAACTGATTTTTAGTATACTATTTCCTGCAGCTATTATAGTCTACAAAAGTAATAAATTGCGAATATTTTACAAATTACTCTTATTTTTTAGATAAAAGCTGTATTCCAAACACATATTTTGAACGTTAACACGTTGACTACGATTGCTTCATCTGGTACTATTATTTCATTTTTTGTACTTTTTTTAAGCAAGGTTCCCAAACGGCCATTTTTTCCGGACAATATCCGTGATTTAGTTTTTCTCAATTGCGTTGGCCGGCTAAAATTTATGATAGGGGTACTTCCTAATTAAATTTTAAATACTGCAAAAAGAAAATAAATGGAATTTTTATAGCGGAACCTACAAATAAACTAGTATACATTGAATTTTCGGCCTTTTTTGTTCTCGGAATTGGCCGATTTTAGGCAACCTGAATTATGTACCACTACCTCCTGGAGAAATACATTTCGTGGTACGCACATGTACCAATACATAGTCATCGTGTTAACATGAAAACATTATATTTATCCTAGAATACCACAAAAAACAAACATTTGATTTGGGCTTCAAATTGCATTTTCATATAACGAACCCCACATGTTACACAGTACTTTACTTAAACTCACATCAAGCCATATTTAAGTCAACTCGCTCATCCATGGTTGCCAGTGATCAGTAATAAGGGACTAAATATTATTAATCTCGCAGAGACGGATTCTAATTTAGGCCTTGGTCTGCACTCTGTGCTAATTCTAAGAATAACAGGCCAAAGGTCCATTAATCAACAATATTTAGGAATGTAGATATAAAGTCTTTACTTTTCAATGATAATGCTTGCATAATTTTATCAACTTAAACTTCGCCAGCCTGAGCTATAAAGAACTTCAAGTTGTTGAATTAACGGTCATCAACTAAGTTTCTGTAGATTATAAACGATCTTATACCGAATAGCTGAAAATAATAACAGTAACAAAAATGGATGAGGCTTTTCCACGAGCTTACGCAGCAGGCTTCCAGTTGTTCTTGAGGTCCCGAAGAGCCCGCATGGTGTCGATGCTGTCGCTGGTACCGCAGTGCTGTCTCACGCTGCTCTCGTCCACGCGCATGAAGGGATTGTACTGCTTCTCTTCTCCTGTACAAACATTTTCGGATGAATTACAGCAATATTCGAGCGCATGTTTGAATTAATCTATAGGATATTTTGGATCTGATTTGATAAAATTAATCTTTGCATTTTTTTTCTAAAAATGACTTCAACACTTAAATGAATGACCAAACCCCTCACATTGAATCGATGAAGTGGACAAAAAAAATTATGTAACAGGTTGAATGAAGATTCGTTGACAAAAAAGTTTTGAATATCTGTGGCACTTCTAATGCAGCAACTATCATGAACGCATTTCATGTTCAATTAAAAATAATTAGATCATAAATTTCACTCCTGGTTTTAAGAAAATCAGCAATTGCCCAAAAAAATGATGAGGTTACAAAGGACAAGGCAGCATGGTTCTGTGCAGCCTAACCTCTGTATCTTCATCATTATTTTTGGAAATAGTTCTACGTGGCCTTCACAGTTCGATGATAAATTTACAGCCTCAAATGATTGTTCATAAATTGCATTCCTTTTCAAAATGTGCAATTTCCATAACAGAATTAGAAATGGAACGTTCATTGCCGTCTCACCGATGGTGGAAGGCACTGAGGGCAGGCCAGCGTCGCGGCGCTGCGTAACCCAGTCCAGTTTTGCTTTAACGGCAGGATTGTCGGGCTCCACGTGCAGTCCGTACTGAAGGTTGCTCAGTGCATACTCGTGACCACAGAACACGTCCTGTACCCAAATATTATTAATTAGACATCAGTGTGGAGTAAATATTCGAGATTCCGAAATAATATTCACCAAAATACTCTGAAATAATGAGCACTTAACTATTTGAATTACCTAAATGATTAACAATCTGTACAATGCCCTCAAAATGATCGAGCTAGAAATAAAATATACTCTAGAGCAGCGATTTCTAAACTTTCGATGATAGAGTACCACTTGGAGGCAAGAGGTTTTTCAACTAATTAGCCGCTATTATTAAGCATTTGTTTCATCTTGCTTGACACGCCAATGAGTAACGTTTTAAGTGAGTGCATTTGAATTTCACGATGGGACGCTGTAACCAGATTAGAGGCGTATCAATGCCTGCAAATAACTGCCTCATAATGTAAAGAGAGCAACAAGTAAACATTTTTTTGGGATGAAAAATCACTACCAATCTAAAACATCGTTCATGACACGAACTTTGCTCCAGCTACAGGTAAGGAAATAACATACAAATAGTGCTATGTGTACTGCAGTTTGGGAAAAACTACTTTAGAAGGAAGGTCAACTTTGGTACCGTAGTTCTTAAGATATTTCCATCACTAAATTATTTTTTGCTAGGTGAATTAAAAATACACAAATAAATCCAATTCATCTGCTGAATGGAAATGTGTATAATGTACAGAATAGCTCCAATGAAGCTGAACTTGCAGTATTATCTGGCAGAACTCCCAGGATCTTGATGAGAGCTGTGTGCATCTGTTCTGCATCACCTTCAAAGAACTTGCCGCAGCCACCCAAGAAAAGTGTGTCCCCTGCAAAGTTTGTTGATTCTATGATTAATCAAGTCTTTGTGCGCAAAATAATCTAAATTACAGCCCCTAATTGTCATTTTTCCAGTCGAGGCAATGTATAAATTTCACACCTAAATAAATTTCAACATCTTGCTACAATAAAAACTACCTTTCAGAAATGCTGCACAAACATGCTGTGAAGGTTGCATATTAATTTTCATTTCTAGAGATTACCAAATTAAAAATAACATCGCAATTTCATAATTGGCCTTCCTCTACTCTGTTCTACAAGGCCTCTTGATCCAACTGCTAGGAATAAAGTTTTTAGTTCCAGTCAATATTCCGACTCGATAGGAATTGTGGAAACGCGATCAAAAAGTCTATACACATATCCAGTGTCAAGCTTCAAAATACTCTCGCTAACATAGGAACAAACTGTGACAAATATTAATAGATTTACTAGAATTGAGATAATTAATAAAACTTGTAGTGAATAGCATTAGTGTTGTTTTCTTTGAGCATTGCATCATATTAGCTGTTAAGAAAACATCTTTTAAAGAAAAACGGAGCAAGTGAGCTTTCCTTCAGAAATAAAACAAGGACGAGCAATCAAGTCAACTAAAAAAATCAATAGTAAATGGTATCAAGTTCAAGAGAAAAATCTCTCCTGGAAGTTGTTTGTCCGTAATTGCATCACAAACCAGACCAATTCGACTGAAAATTAGGTATAATAACAAACTGAATAAGTACTATTACAAACTTGTCTAAGGAAACGCACCTGTAAAGACGGCCGGAGTGCGAGTGCCGTCTTCAGGACAGGTGACATGGTAACAGATGTGGCCGCGGGTGTGGCAAGGAGTAGCCAGACAAGATATGTGCAGACGCCCCACCGAGAGAGTGTCTCCATGCTTGACGTGCTCAGTCAGGGCTCCTATGCGCTCATCGCCACCATACACTTTCAGGTCCAAGCCTGCTTGCTTCACCAGGTCTTCATTGCCACCTGCATGATCCCTGGCACATAGAATCATTATATTTACCAAAACATTTCAACTCTGTCATATTCACGTCATATTTATTACCTACGTTTAGTAAAAGTTTTGGAGAAAGAAATGCATTTCATCAATTAAATGATGTACCGTATATTTTTACTCTTAACACATTCACATATTACACCTTCCATGTTTACGTTTAGGTTACTCTCGATTTTGCCCAGTTATGAGCAGATACCTCAAGAAGAAAAAAAAAACTACATCAAGGAGATGTGTGATGAGAGCAAAGGGCTTTGTGATGTGTGATGAGAGCAAACTATTGGGGAGGGGTGGTGAGGACGGTGGCCAGACATGTCATCACACCAGACCTATCATTATTATCATTATTATATCATACCACAATGAAATTTCAATTTGCAAAAGTGCATTTTGCAAACTTAAGTACATGTAGGTTTGGTCAGGTTATATTGATTTAGATGAAATGTCTCTTATGATGAGCTGCCAGGGAACCAGTGAGGACATACCAGTGGTGATGGGTGGTGAGGACATACCAGTGGTGATGGGTGGTGAGGACATACCAGTGGTGATGGGTGGTGAGGACATGAGGACATACCAGTGGTGATGGGTGGTGACATCAGGACATACCAGTGGTGATTGGTGTTGAGGACATGAGGACATACCAGCGGTGATGGGTGGTGACATCAGGACATACCAGTGGTGATGGGTGGTGAGGACACCAGGACATACCAGTGGTGATGGGTGGTGAGGACATCAGGACATACCAGTGGTGATGGGTGGTGAGGACATGAGGACATACCAGTGGTGATGGGTGGTGAGAACAGTAGTCAGTTTCACTTGAGCATCTTTGACAGCTTGCAAGACAGTCTGGGGAGCAACAGGATCCACTATGGCAGCCTCTTTGGTCACCTCATCTATGATCTGTCAATAAATTTGCAATTAATGGTAGTCACATGGGAACCATTCATTATTATAGTATAGTATTTTAGTCCCAGCATTACATAATAGGTTATGTTTGACATGTTGATTCCTAAGATTTTTGATTTGTATCTTTAGAGTTCTAAATCAATCTCTTTAGTCAGATAATATGAAGATTTAGAATGCTGCCATAGATGAGGGCACATAGTTAATCTTATAGCCTTGAAATACACTTTATAGAGTTATTTTACTGTTTTTACAGCAGGAAATAATTACTCAGAGTCATTTATTAACAAATTCATGACATGATGTTATTTCATGTGATTCAAAATAGGTAAAGCAAAGCCAATCTATAAAGTATTTTGGTAGTATAGGTATACCATATATAATGGTCTAGGCAACAAGCCTTCAAGTACTCAGAAGAATTCTTAAATTGTCTATGATAGTTTCTTTGCCACTTGCATTGCCAGAGAACAAATATACATCACAGGCCTTCAATTATTATTATGTAAATAAACCAAACATGTCATTATTCCTTTAGTATTATTTATATAAATAAATGTTATTGTCAAGCAGTAAGCTAAATGTAGCATTGGCTAAGTGACAACTCATGTGTCACTGATGATTAATACACTTACAAGATACATGTAGTTATCCGAGAGAGCTGGAAGGATTTCCACCTTCATTTTCGGATACTTGATACTGGTTTGTTCACTGTGAAGCTTGCCACTGCCAATGGTAATCCAATGCTGAGCTGCTCAATATAATTGGGTAAGATTAGAACATAATAATTGAGAAGAAAACTAAATGAGAAATACATACTGGAGAAAATTTTGATGGTAGCGCAATACTTGTATGCATGCAAAAACTGCATTTTGAGCAATACAAAACTTCATAATGATGATTCATTACTGTTGCCACAGGCAACCTTTGAAACACTTGAATAACAAAATGCAAGCATTGGATAATTTGATTAAGACCACAAAAAAAAAAAACAATTGCATAGCTGTGTTTCATGCCCCTGAATTAGTTCAGTCCAACTTATCCAAGTCATATATTAATATATGATTGTTGTAAAGATTTTTATTAAAATGATTTTTACAGTTAGGGTAAACGCGGTATATTCCGACATCGTAGGTAATTCCGTCACCTCTCCAGCTTTTCCTTTATATTAAGCTTTGTTTTAGTTCCATGCATTCATTGAATGTTGCCACACAAAGTGACGGAATATAGGGATTTGGTAGGTTTCCATTCTAAAGGCTTTTTAATAAATATGGCAACATTTTGTGACGTTTCATTGTTGCTGACGCGTAGTGAAGTGTTTCGAGAGTCATGTGAAGGCAACAGAACTTACTTAACGCATACGGTTTTTTTTATAGTTTTTCATTTCTCAATGCGTCCTTAATGTGTCGGAATATACCGCGTTTATCCTACAAGAATATATTTCCATCAACTATTGTACCACAATTTATGAAATTGCTAGCTTTTAAAGAAAAAACTTTTTTTTTTTAGTAGGGCAACAAGGTCAGTGGTTATGTGTCACTTTAATGGCAAACCTAACTCTTACCTTGTCAGTTTCATGCTGCAATTATGCATTATCTAAAAAAAATTAAATAGAAATTTTAGAAATAGCTAGAAGTTATTTTTTATACTTTTATAATAACTTATGAATTTTTACCTTTTGAGTAATAAAAATATATTTCATTTAAAAATATAGAAAAAAATTGTTTTTACATACTAACATTGTAAAATTAAATAAAAATAGGAAAGACAATGGAAACTGCCAACTTGACTCAGTCAGAATGTCTAGAAATCTAGATTTCAATCATTCAATGTAAGGTAGGATTTCTCTAATACAGCAGACAGCCTATTCAATTATATATTCATTATTGTATTATAAAAATATATATACCACTCTGGCACTCCCAAATCCCAATTCAGGCAATTCCCACACCACACTCCCAGTGACCATCCAATTTTGGAGCCAATTCTAGACCGAGAATCCTATACATATACTGGATAGTGGATACCATACCCATTCATTTGGGTATCTAACCCCCAAGACAAAATTTCTCTTATAAATGAATACCTAGCTAACTGAATAGTGACTGCTCACTGCAGACTGCCTTCTAGTTCTAGCCAGTTCTTAGCATATCTTTTTTGGGGATAGACAGCAATGGGCATTGCCCTGCATTGGGCAAGTAATGGAATCCTGACCAAACTCTTGGCAATAATGCCACAGTTACCACTTATAGCCTACCTTAGGCTAATAGGCTACCTGTACAATTGGCAGACATTCTTATTCAAAGTACCTAAGATCTGAGTAAGATGTCAAATAAGAACAATAGGCCTAACTGTCATCTGTCAATTACAAAAAATACTTATTTGTATTGCATAGGTAAAATATATTGTACCTATATAAGTTTTAATTTATTATGTTTATTTTGTTATTGTTGTCTGAACAGTGAACCCATTGACATTCTGAATTAGGTTCAGTGTTCAGAATGGTGAAGGTGATCCAGTGCTCATTGAATGGTGATCTTCATTGAACTTGAAGTACCAGCTACCAGGCAATAAGTCCAGCAGCTATCTCAATCAATCGTCAGTTATGGAAATTGGAAAGATCGGTTGTTGTTGTTGTAGCCGGCTTGAAGGTGAAGAAGTAGCCGGAAGATGACCACTCGTTACACCTGGACTCAGCAGAAAGTTTCAGCATTAAATGTCAATGATTCTTGAAGGTTCTATTAGCTGGGCTTCCAGTTTTGCTCACAGGTAGATCCAGGATGATGCTCATGCACTACAGGGACATCAGACGATTTGTTTGCATTAAATAGGTGATTGTTGCTCTTATTATTGCATGTTGAGTCTTTGTGCGGAAGAAGATGTGTTATATCATAAAGGCAACCCCACAACAGTAATAGAGTACACTGCACACCACACATTAGCAAATCAGGATGTCAACTCACTCAACAGCAAGGTTGCTGACTTGCTTAGTTGTCTCATTACTCTCGTACTCGGTGTTGGTGAGCCGAAAGGCGTTATTCATACATCGCTTTCACAATTGCGTTAACGTCATATTTGCTTCTCAAGCAATACAACGGTCGAGTGGTTCGACGAACTTGAACGTTGCTCCTGGTCCAGTAGCTTCTGTTCGATCGCGCGTCTGGCTTCCGCATTTTCTGGCTTCGAACTTCGTGCGGATTTCACTTTTCTGATTGCGCTGCGGAATTCGACTTGAATTCATTATCAATTTTGTGTATCCTGCGGAATTAGTGCCAATTTTTCGCAGCCTAAGCCCCCTGCGGAATTCATTAACAGGTGTACTAGTCCATCTGAAGTCGCGTTTTTTCCACTTAGGCCAAGTAGGTACCCAGCGGCCAGCTGAGTCATCTGCAAAAGCGAATTGACAGCTGCCTCACAATTTTCAGCAAGTTCCACTGCAACTAATCCTTTGCGTTGATTTACACGAACATCCTTAATGTGTATGGCATTGAATGGTGGTCAGGTGGTGCTTCCAAGTACCAACAGTCCAAGCACTCCAAGGCTATGCATAGCTGTTCTGGTGAAATTAGCATCCTCACACAGTCACACGCGTTCAAGAACAGACTAGACAAGGCCATGCATGAGCATATGTTCAGTCTTAAAATGCCTCGTACCCTACGGAGTACGGAACCATAGTGACAAACCAGAGATTTTTAAGCATCGGTTCATTTTCAATTCCTCATTTACCCAAGATTTAAACCAATTTCTTATGTATGATGATGCTGGTATCCAGGATACTTTACTGGTCTACTTATAGGACTCAAAACTGATCTTGAGGGAGAGTCTAAAAAAACTCTCTGCTTTGCCACTATGTACGGAACAACTGATATCTAGAAGCGATTTTAAATCTACCGTCCATAAGGCCAGTCAGGCCCAGTCTAGTCAAGAAAAGTACAAGAATCAGTGACAGGCCTATCCAGGCCTTAAGGCCTATTCTTTAATGTCGAAGATACTATACTATACTATACTATACTAAACTTGCAGGAGCCTAGGAGGCGGCAGGCCTAATCAATATGACTCTTTAATTATCATGATCTGAGTTTACCCAAAAATCCCTAAGTGGTAGGTAAACACCACCTTGGCCTGTTGGCCATTATTGAAGGCAATAAGTGCCCTTTTTAGCCATCCATTATGTTCCATATACTGTTATTGTTAGTAGGCTAATTGCAACATAAAAAATAATACTTCAAAAAGACAAAAAAGCTGAAAAATAAAAAAAATCATGAAAAAATATAAAAAATCATTGATTTTTGATTTTTTTATATTTTTTTAACACGTTTCCTGCGATGTGACCCACTGGTGGGTCACCACTGTGTTACGTGTACGGCGACGGCCAATATCGACGCTATTCTCCTGTTGCGACGGTGGTATCTGTACGATAACTTCAGTTGCATCTGAGATAGCTCGGAGTGAGGTTGTCAGAGTTTTGTTCTCATATGTTACAGCTTGATTAGGTAAGAAAAACAGTGACCCACGGGTGGATCCCATCGCATCTGAAGATAATGTTTTTGTTGTAATGCGATGGGACCCACCGGTGGGTCCCATGTTAAAAAATTGTATATGTTGAATTCACGATGCATAAGTTGTTTGTTGGGATAACTGGAGGGATAAAAGGAATGTTGTAACTTTATCAACAGTTCCAGAACATGATGACACTTTGGTAGACACAGGTAGAATCACATGGGCTGGTTTACCTATCAAAAAGCCTCAAAGTGTGTTAGACTACAATGCTTGCAAAAAAGGGGTTGACGTATCAGACCAAATGTCCTCATATTATTCTCCTCTAAAGAAGTCGAGGAAATGGTACAAAAAAGTTTTCTTAGAATTAATTACTGGACCTTCTATTGTGAATGCGTGGGTACTGTACAATAAATACTACTCAAAAAAGAAAATTACAATCAGAGCATTCAAGGAATCCATTGTACTGGTACTATACTTGTGGCGTTATGGAGGAGAAAATAAAGCCTGGAAAATCTTCCCTGAAAATTTCTGCAACATCTGGACATCATCTTCAGGAAGCTGAAGGGCCCAAAAGGAAAACAAGAAAAAGGTGCCGCGGCTGCTATGAAATGATATCCGAAAACGAAGGTTCCAAAGCGGCTAAAACCAAATCTCGAAAAGTTTCTACATTTTGTGACTCATGTGATGGTTCACCTTATCTCTGCCTACCATGTTTCAACATGAAACATGAAAAGTAAAATATTTATTCACTAACAAATGTAATTATATTTCTATTCTGCATATTTTGAATAAAATGAAATTTTCATGAATTAGAAGTTCGATAAACCTTCGTTCTTACATATCTTTCTTTAATTTAACCTTTTTATAGAAATACTAGGACACATATATAACGCGTAGTCAATATAGACTTATATTTTTTTGCAAATTATAAAAGGAAGACAAAATTAAAGTGGGACCCACCGGTGGGTCACATCGCAACAATGGAAAGAAGACTGGGACCCACTGGTGGGTCACATCGCAGGTGTCGTGCATAGCAGCAAAAGAGCCGTCGCAGGAAACGTGTTAAATCAAAAAAATCACTAACCCTGGTTGGGATGCATAAACAACTAAGTCATCATAACCTAACCAAAGATACATTTAATGCTATGCCTCATCAAAACAAATGCTTCAGTTCAAATGGCTAAATCTGTAAAATGATCTCTGCAAATCCAGCCCAGCTTCCAACAATAACCCTATTCAAATCTGCAGGGGCTTGCACGTCACCATTCTCTGACACAGCCTGAAAGTTGTGGCAGAATAAGTTTGCCTTGGCAAGGGTATTACTCAATAACTGCCCATTTTCAATAATTGGGTACAGGGGCAGGGCAAACCTTGATCGTAGCAGTCAAATTTTGCGCCATGCAACTCCAATGGGTGTCTTGTAAGTTATTGAGGATAGAAATTCCCTTTTGTAATTGCGCTTACTTTTGAAAATGCAATTCCTAGCCAGAGCTTGACAGTGCTTATATTCAATGAGATTGGCTTGAGTGGGATGTCTCTCCAGTGCTCGACGAGCCCGGTGTCTGTTCCTAACTGCTTCACCACAAGCTTCATTCCACCAAGGAGAAGTTTGCCAATCTAAAAGCTTGCCACTTTTCCATGGAATACAGTCAGCTGCAGCTTTAATTTTAATAATGCATGAAGTCATCCCATCAGCCACCTCATCAACCAAAGCTGGTTGAACTAAGCTATGGAGGGATAGGTGTCCAGGCAGTTTTTGCAATGTTTCAGAGGTGGGCTTCCATCTTGGTACAGGCAAGGATGTTAAGGAATGAAGATGAACACTTGAAGATGCCAGGATGGGATAATGGTCACTTCCCACATCCCTGAGCCGCTCCAAACTGAAGCATGGTGAGACATCTGATGAAACCAAAATCAGATCTAAGCAGCTACATCTGCCGGTTCTGCGGTCATTATAGGTATATATATAAAAATGAATTGCATTGAGCAAAGTCAGCAAGGTTGACAGAAGAAGTTGCTCAAGGGACTGTCCAGCTGCATCAGCACGAGAGCAGGCAGAGGAAAGAAGAGGAGAATGGGCATTGAAATCCCCAGTCAAAAGAAATAGCAGGTCAAGCTGGTCAGTGTAATGAAGAAGCTCT